AAATTGGCCCCGGTGAAAATTTCAGCTATTTTTGACCAAATAAGTTATGATATCATCTATTTTTTTACGAATGAAGTATAAATCAACATCTACTATATTTGTAGGGTTCGCAAATGCGCTGTCAATCGTCAAAAGGGTTTCTCTGATTATCATAATGTACTTCAATATAAAGCTGGAGTCAATGAAATAACTAATAGTAAAATAAAATAATAATAATAAATAACCCTCTCTACAGCAATATTAATCTTGTGCCTATCCAAAATAATAAATCCATGTCTGTCATCCATTCAACAAGTTTGTATGATTTTCAGTCTGTATCCCACTTCTATAATGTAAAAGTAGAGTAAGTAATATACACATCTCACTCTTGGACAAAGGCACCTTATAGAGTGTATTATAGAACCCGCGACAGCAGTCTTGCAGTTTTCACATATCTTCGAAAAATATTTTTTTCATTATTACGAAAATATCCAGGTTTCTTCACGATGTCTTTCTCCACCACTTAGCCTTGATAAGTCGGCAGTCTGTATGATATATCAGATTTGTTTTATGAACTTTCGTTGAATAAAAACTAAATATGTTATACATGTTTCAAAGAGCATAAAGAAGAAAAATTGGTTTTGTCTTGAAAATTATAAATAACAAGGGAAATAAATACACTTTTATAATCAACTATACAAATATATTTAAAGTATGAGTAATAATAACATTCACAATTTAAAGATATGGAAATGCGAAATCATTTTTAGCCACACAATCAGAAAATTAAGCTGGAATTCTACATAGAATGTGTAATTTTTCGAAAAACTGAGACTAAATTGCTTTCGAATTTCGGTTTTAGTTAAGTCGCACCACGCGCTGACAAATAGGAGATGTACGGTTAAGAATCAGAATACAGAAATAACTCTTTTTGTATTTTAAGGTTAAGTCAACATGTTTAGGTGTTTTAAACGTTTCAAAATAGACGAAAACGAAAAAGTTATATTTCTTGGGGATGGAAATAGGATATTTATTGATTGTGTTTAGAATTTATTTTTTGATGGTGGAAGTTCCACGCAACAGTGTTCGCTGTTGTTCGAATTGGTAGGTCCGTCCGGGTAAGTACCATGACCTCACAGATGACCAGCATGAATTGAATGTCTATATTTTCTAAAATATAGTAACCAGGGCCCAGATTTTTCAAAATTGTTAACACATCTGCAAGCCCTTAGGTGTTTCAGATATCCATGGACAGCGGTTCACTTAACATTAGATTAACCGCCAACTGACAACTTTGCACATTATAAAACCACAATCTTAATAGTTAGAAATATCCATTATGTCAATGACACATACCATATTGCGTCGCGACATTGGACATACCCTACAGTCTATTTTTAAACTAGCCTAAACCTGAGAAGGTACCTATAAAAGTTTATAAAAATATGTATTAAAATTATTGAAATCCTGAATAAACTGAACAGACATAATTTTAAGAAACTTCTAAGAAAACTCTTAATTAATTCGCCTACTATCATGTGGAACAAAACTACATAGTTTGGTTCATAATAAGCGCCTGCTAATTTTATGTTAATACTGTCCTGTGATTAATGATAAATGAGACAGAATGATATATAAGTAAGACAGAAGAGATTCTTTCCGTTACTTCCCGGGACTGGTCTTAAGAAGGGATAGTTTCTATTTGACATTCATTAGAACTAAAAACCAGTCTAAATTGCATTAAGTAAATTTGACATTCACTTTGCTTGCGAGTTTGAAGGTTGCCTCAATTATAATATTAATGTCATTCTTAAGCAATTTTTTTCCATATTGTTTAGAAATGATAATCAAAATATCATGAAATATTTTTATACCAACGTAGCATTTGGCCGTTGCTATTTAAGAAGTACAACGCCAATATTCGACATAACAATTACGTAATTTTCGTGAATGTACTGCAGTACTTAATTTTTTTTCTATGTTGCTTTGCCCTATTTTACAGGTTTCGTGCTACTACTTGTTTTTTTTTTTAGTTTCTTTCTGCGCATAGAATAAAAGTTCATTTAGTACTCATCGAATAATTCGTCTCTACGAGCCCTAGAGTCTACTTCGAATTTCTGGTGTTTGCGAACTCACTCGCTTTAACTACTACATATAAACCTGTAGTTTTATGACCCTGTTCTGACTCTGAGATGTGATAGAATTGGTCCTCGCGTTAAAATGATCTACTTTGTTTAGATCTGTTCCCTGAATATCGCTACAAATTATATATAATAGTAGTTATTATTATAAGAACTTTATTTTAATATTTTAAATTTTTAACAATTATCTAACAAATCAAAAACCATAGGCATTGTGCCTAAGGGATTAGCGTTTCTTCATTGAATCGTTCGTGTTGTACTAAGCATTTTATGCGCAATCTGGTCTCTTTTCACAACTATCGAAAATTAAACGTGAATCCAATACAAATTACGACAGTTACAAAATTTCTTTATATTAAAATTTCTTTATGTCCACTTTCTCCGTAGCCACGGACAAAGTTTTTACCACCAAATAGGTCAAATACTTAATCCTTACTAATAAACCTGTGTTTATGTTCTTTTCTTACTTGAGTCGCCCCTTTTGTCCCTGACCTAAGTACCCTGATATGAGAGGCCACCAGCGTACGTCACGGCACAAGTAGCCTTCTAAAAAGGACTTTGCCTCTCTCCTAAGGGATCAGGTTTAATCCCTCGGGTGCTATCCTTTTCGAAAATGTCGTAAGAATCTTAAACCCAAGGAACATAACAAGAACCCTCCGGATATTTATGGTCTTAGAGACGAGAAAATCGTCTTAAAAATTTACTTCATAATATGTAACATATAATATAGAAATCATGAGTGAACTACAAATTCGGTCATGCTACTCCTAGTGCAATAATTGTAATAAAAATGTAGAGCTACAAAAATCATATTTATTTGTTTGTAGCATAAGGACAAGGTATTGAGAGGAAGAATCCACTGGTAATTAAAGTAAAGTAAATTAACACTATTTATTTTAATATTATATTTCTCATGCTGGGCAAAAGGCTCCTCCGTAAACAGGCAACTGCATTATTACTTGGGTCACACTGAAAGTTCTTAGCAAATCATAAAACGGCTCAATAGAAAGATGCCTATTATTATTTTAACTACAAATTCGGTCATGCTACTCCTAGTGCAATAATTGTAATAAAAATGTAGAGCTACAAAAATCATATTTATTTGTTTGTAGCATAAGGACAAGGTATTGAGAGGAAGAATCCACTGGTAATTAAAGTAAAGTAAATTAACACTATTTATTTTAATATTATATTTCTCATGCTGGGCAAAAGGCTCCTCCGTAAACAGGCAACTGCATTATTACTTGGGTCACACTGAAAGTTCTTGGCAAATCATAAAACGGCTCAATAGAAAGATGCCTATTATTATTTTTATTTGCAAGTTTTTATTGTTGTCCGTAATAATTTCCGTTTCTCTATATGCGTCTTCGCATTCATTGAGAAAAGCAGTGGGACCATTCTTCCTTAGGGGCCTCTTCTACGGCATTTTCGAACGCACTCACCGCATCGTCAGGGCTCTTAAAGTGAATACCTCGATGTTTATCTTTGATTCTTTGGAATATCTAATAGCATGTAAATACTCTAACTTGCAATATAAGGACGCAGATTTGAATATTAGTGACATGAACAAATAAATGAAAAGTTCTTTTGCAATTTACAGTATTGTTGTCATATCCACCCAATCTTTTATACCTATCTCCTATCTCCTACTCAATATCTTATATTATCTTGCTCATGTCGGCATCATGCTCTCGTATTGAGAATCAATAAGCTCGAATTAATAAAGATAATACTATCAGCTAAACTGTGTGCTAAGTCAGAGATTATATGCGTTAGTTTTGTAAACATTTTCATAACTGACTGGGTAAAATTTCTCTACATTAATTATTCCGTAACTTGTCTTTCTTTATCTAATGTGGAAGAGCCATGCAATAGCTTTTCTGTCGCACGAATAGGCAGGCTCAACAGAGAAAGCACCACACCTTTACATGACACCGCAGTGAGGTGAACGTATTATACTTCTGAGTTTCGTCTTTAGAGGAGCCAAAGTGGGCCCTCTTGCAAGGATTGGCAACGCGCTTGAAATAATTATTATAGATGTTAATGGGCGGCGATACTTACTTAACATCAGGTGAACCATGCATTATCTATTTCCTTCGCTAGCTTCATTAAATAAACCGTAGGAAAGTTCCACCAGATTAATTTTTATCTCATTTGAACAAGAAATGTTTTTTATTTCCCATGGAATTCTCTATATATGTTAAATATTTAACACAAACAGTAGCCAGTAAATCTCTCAATAGTAATAGTCAATCAGTAATGTCTCAATAGTCAATAAATCTCATACATCATCATACTATGATTGGAAACTTTTAAAGATATTATTAAATCTGTATTGGAAACGTTCAATTAAGCAATTAAAAATGTAAGGCTAATAAATATTTCAAGCTAGGTAGCTCCACGCCTTTAAGTTATTACAAGCAACCTGAGTCCAGACACCGGTATCAAAGTAATTGCTTATTAATATTTATAATTTTAATGGGAGAATATCTGAGGTAAAATGAGTTCTTTTTAAAAAAGTATATCTTAAACTTTTCGAAAAGTTTACTTTGTCAGATTGTTTAGGATGAATTTGTTGTTACGTCTTACAAGAAGAAAAAAATGTTCATATACCTATAAATTCCTATAATAATAACAATATTTAACAAATGATATTGAATCACTCAAATCGATTATGTAAGTGCAAAAAATTTAACCATGATGTTTTTCAATATAAATAACAGATTGACACCACACAATCATAATTACAAAGTATATTAAGTAGTTATTATATGTCGTACTAAACACTAATAATACATAGTATAAAATCCAAAACCGGTATACTTGGAATACACCGCAGTGGCCCAATCATTTGTACTGGGTTTGAAATTCTCTTTAAGCATGCCATCGTTACGTGATCAGCGTAGCGTCGGCGGCACGACATGGCGACGCTACGACAATGCCTTTCAGCTGAAACGCTCGATGAGGGGTAGGGGGAGGTTGTGCGAGGTCGCGCGTCGGGTTCGGCTAGCTACGGCCGTAGCCGGCAGGAGCTACGGCGCGCGCACAGCGACCTCTTGCGTGCGCCGAACGCCGCCCATCGGATTCAGTCCAGCGAACACGCTGCGGACTCCGCCGCCTCTCACTGCCGTCGAATCGTTATCTAAATAGCGTTCCTAGGCCCTCGCCTCCAGTGAACGTCCACGCGATCACCCCCGCAACGCAACCGACGCGGAACATCACCATTATACGCTAAGGCTTTCCATAAAATGAGCAAACACGCGAATAATAACTGGGGTGCTTGCTTAATCGATCGACTGCATTGAAAAGTGAAAACTGTTATTATCGTTTTGGGGGCGAAATTTGCAGAATTTTTTTTTGTTTGCGCTGCGATTAAGCTTTTGAGCGTTGTTATATCACGTATCTGAAAAGTGCCCAGGGAAAAGCTTGTGCGTATAGTTGTTAATACAAGAGAGTGGTGCCGTCCTGTGCTTAGTTCTTCGGTATTAAGTGCGTCAGATCTCGAGAGGTGTTTTATCGTTTATTCGATTGCGAGCCTAAGCATTTTTTTTATTTGTTACATTTCCTTTTGCATTGATTTGCTATTACTGTGGAAAAAAACGCGATCCATGCTTGGAGTTATGACAACCATGGTATGGTTTCCTTTGTCTACATTACGTACTTTTCCTTTTAGTAATCAAGAGTAGCTTTTTGCTTTCAAGATCAAATTGACTATTTCATCAGATGAACATGAGCTAGACCAAAATTTTGATAAAAGAACTATCAATTCTCAACTCAATAATTATTATTATATTATATTATTGACTTTATCTAACATTTTCAGTGCTTCTTCAAATCATGTAGGTTTATAATCATGGCATTACAATCAAATCAATAGTAGTGTAGTCATTTATATTAAAATACATACTGAAATTAATACCTATAAAATTAACTTCACCTGTATTACATACATTATTTATGATGCATGTGAGTGCATCTTGGCCTATATTTTCTTAGATCCATTATGTAAGTGTCCAATATCGCTTTATTACATACACGAAGTACACCGAATAACTCACTGCGGATGTCCAATCATAGAGCATACAGAAAGCTTTGGTTTCTGCAGTAGGACTATTTGTAATTATGTATGTAGTGAGTACACGCCTAGCTACTGTAACATCACGCCACACGTTATTAATAATTACTAAATAATCAACACTCAAACCTTCTGCATGGAACTTAGGGAATATAAAGTGAAAATTACTTACTTAAATTCTATATATAATACATTTAACATTTATCTATGAGTCTGAATCAGAATTTCATTTGATTTTATTTTAAATGTCATGTAATCATTTAAGTTTGTTTATTATAGTTATCATAAATTATTATTGTTGAGTTCACTTCTTTTCTTTTAAAAAAGTGAATTAATTTTACTTATATTTAACTTCAACGTGATCTTATATCGTCCAATCGTGCTACTTTTCCGCTGTAATAGCAAATACTTTTAATACGATTAATAATCTGAGATATAAGAATGATAAATTTGACCACTAGATAAAAATATTTGTCAATGATAAAAGACTACATAGATTACACACGTTAATTTACCAAAGTCTTCATTAGCCGTCGTTTTATGTAATATTAATTTTAAAAAATCCGTACATTAAATCAGTACAAAAGTTATATAATAATCAAAATATTGATACTTCCTCAAATTTGCTTTAAAAGTTAATGCGATGACAAATGCCTTTTAACATATAACTTATAATGCTTAATTTCATAGATTGATATTGTAATTATGGATACAGTTAGGCATTTCACTAACTAAACGGTTTAAACTCCACTTAACCGAGTTACGTAAGACCATAGGAGATTTTTATAAAATGGCAAAACTTTCCTTTTTACTGAAAACGTTTACAGTAAAAAGGAAAAAAAGGGGGAATAAAGCTAACAACTTAAGAGTTTTACATATATTCGACATGTCTAAGCAGACGCTAATGGCTTCTCTTTCTTTTAACTAAATTAAAAATAATCGGGAAAAGTTATGATTTGATTACTTACTACTTACTTGCACGTAAAAATTATTTACACCTATGGCGATCGTATGTGAAGTTTAAAATGTCCTGCGCTTAAAAACTTCTCACTAAGAGCGCGTGGAAAACAGAGTAAAGATGTACATAGGTATAAATAAAAGCAGACGCAAATGAAGATGAAAAGACTTGGCTACACGAAAACACTCTGTTGAATGACACGTGGCCTAGTTCCTAACGTTCACCACGTTACTAGTTGTGCTTATACACTGGTGACCCTATAAATCATACCCGGAAAAACTCTCGACAGTGCACCCTGAATAGCGCCAATAATCAGTCCTCTCGTTTCATTTTCTTTCAACTCATTACCACACCATAGTAACGTCCGACATCGATCGGAAGCGACCGAAACGAGTTAACGCGTAGGCGATTGCGTACCGCTACCAGAGGCGCCGGTGAAACACGCATCTATGCAAAACACGGCGATCGCGCTTCTGGAGACCGCTGCGGCGTTCGAGCGGGCCGTGCTGGAATGTGAGCACCTGGAAGCGTCCGAGCACGGGGGGTTTCGGTGAGGGCGTTGGCGCGGCGGCGGCATGGACGAGCGGGGGCCCCCCGAGGTGCCGCTGATAGTGACCCCCCCGGGGGGCGCGGCGCTCACCACGTCGCGGCGCATCATGTCCGCGCGCGGCTCCCGCGACGAGCCCCCCTCGACCTGGCGCTCGTCGGTGCGTGTGCGCGACACCGGTTTCCGCGGCTCGCGCAAGAGCGTCGTACGCCTCGAACCGCCCTGTAACGGTCTCAACGGGCTGCCCGCCATCGGCAAGGAGGTAATTCATCACAATGGCTGACTGTTTCGAGTTTTCGCCCGCAGGGGGGCGCCGTTGTAGCGACGTGCGTAACAGCCTTACGCTTGCAATCGTAATCTAAAAATCTGGCTGTTCTGGCTTGTGGTTGATTGTTGAAGGAAATATCAATGTCAATTATTTCTCTCTATAAGCTAAACGGTACATTAGTCTGTGCATATTTTGAGCAATGGGCAAAATTAAAATAAATCAATGTTAATATAATGAAACCCGAAGTGTCATAAGGGGCTTTATTGTATGGAGTCCAATACTATGAGCGCACTTGTTGAATTTTATCTTTCAACATGAACATATAATAAAATACTACGAATACAATTGAAGGATTGTACATGTTATATAATATATGAAATGTTTTCACTTAGTACAGTCTAATATAATTTGTCAATCTTCACTTCCTATGAAATGTGTATGATATTATGAAAAACTAAGTAACACTCGATCGAGCCAATTTACTTTATGTTATATTTACCTTGTATACAATGTAAATGCACATGTATGTGTACATATATGGATATTATTTGTAACGGTCCACATAATAAAATCAAATCCAAGATGGTACCAACGAGTTTCGAACCTATCGGAGGTCTTTCAAACAGGGTGAGTGGAATGAGTTCGCGTTTGTGCCCCGTCTCGCACTGATGCCGTTTCAATTAATTAATTAATATTGTCTCGAGAAAAATTTAATAATTTTATTACACCGCGTACATTTTTTTTTTATTATCTTTATTTTTTTTGGCTTTTTATCTATAAAGATACGCAACCCCATACCGCGTACACGATTTTAAATGGTGCTACTTTTAATATACCGAAAACGAACTAAATGTCTGATTGTCGACTGTCATATTTTTTTTATTTTCTACTACTCACTTTAGTCATTAAACATAAAGAAGTCGAGTGCGACTCCCGAATGGAGGGTCCTGTACCATTATCTATAAAATCGTCAAAAAAAAACCATATACATTTTAGTGTTTGTTGTCATAGAGGCAACAGAATTACATCATTTGTGAAAATTTCAATTGTCTAACTATCATGGTTCATGAGCCTGGTGACAGCCGGACAGACGGACAGACAGCGGAGTCTTAGCAATAGGGCCCTGGTTTTCCTTTGGGTACGGAACCCTAAAAACGTAGTAGCATCTTCGTCATACTGTCAGAAAAAAATCCAAGCGAATCAATCAAAGTGCGGTCTCCCTGCATAGTTTTTTTTTATAATCATTGTAATGTTTTACATCGATCTAGACTCAGTAAAGTCAAGATACCTATATACCCGTGCAAAGAAACATGCAAAGTTAGTGGATATATGGCACGAGTTTTTCTCTAAAGATCATGTTACTTTATTTATGTTTAAAATATGCACTAGACCACATTTTTTTTAAATTAAGTCATATTTATGTCTTGATTACATTATCGCAAAAATATGACGCCATTTCTTTATTCATTATCGCTTAAACGATATGATTATACCGTTAACAAATAAAAAAAACTATTATGTCATCCAAACTAATACGAAACATATTTTTAAGTGCTATTGATTTTATAAATAATTTAAATAAAAAGATATTTAATGAAAATTATTTATTAATTAAAAATCATTTTAAATAAACGCAAGTAATCCTACGTTCATACCAATTAAGATAAATTTTCCAGTTCTTGAACCATGTCAAAAAATTTTAAAAAACATTTTTATATAACCATAAGCTTGTCTACGACTTACTTTTTAGGTAGCAACAGTAACGTCTCTGTGTGATATTTTAAAACGTTTCTATTGACTACACAGAGCAGTTACGAACGGCATTTTTTGCTTACTCGACTTAACCTAGCTTTCGGCGCAAAGCAAAACCCGATATCGTAAGGGCCACTACTGCGGCCAACCACCGAAATTCTGACCGCAAGTTCGTTAATTCAATGATCATTTATTCTATCAAAGTGCCACTACACTACGAACGCTTCTAGTGTACTTGAGATGATGATTCTTAATGAAATGCATTAACATGTTATGTTCATGTTTTGTCACGGAATTTTAAAGAAGAATCTAACAACATTTTAGAATTTCGATACCCACTATAAATCATCATTGAAATGCCGATATAAAATTATTTATTGATTGTACTTGAAATCAATACAGTGTACCGTACAACGCATCCTGATTTTAATAAAAATGACCGATGTGGCGGACATTGTGTAATAACATGTACATGAACAAAAAAACAATTTCACATTTAAAATTAACGATTCTTACCTTTTGTCAGCTTCTCCTTAAATGTTATAAAATATCGTGATCGAAGGCTAAAAGCTTATGCTATACACGTGATATTTTTATTCCAAATTTCTTCCTAAGATTCGAATCGCTGCACTTTCACAAAGGGTTGACATTTTTGACTAATTCAGGAATAAATTAAATGATTTAAAAGATAAATATGAATTGAAACGATCAAAAAAGAATAATTCAACTACTTAAACTTATTTGTAGTTTTATTTTGTTTACTTAGTCATACTTTAAATAAACTTTTATAACATAAGGATACCAAACTGGATCACCAATTTTTACAAACATTGTACATATTGTATGTCATATTCGTCATATTTTCTGTCAAGAATACCTCGATTTGCATGAACCTTAGACAGTAGGATACATTAGTATATAGGATGTGGGAGAGTTGCAACACATGCACAGAAAGGGACACATTAAAGTGAATGCTGTATTATTATCTATAAATTCACCTGCACAAAAGTAGCTCAGTTTATAGTTTTTCATCATAAAATATTTAGACGTAACGGTTACTAATGGAAAATCGTTATAGCGTTATATTTTTTCAACACATCACATCAGCATATTAGTAATGTATAACTTGGTATATATAACTTGGTTTTATTAACAAGTTTAAATCAATTTTTAAAATAACTCATTATAAAATCGCTATAATCATTCATTCATTTTGAATCTATCTTGTTATTTTGTCATAGTGGTTACCGTATACAAAACCAATTTATATATTTTTATTACATTTATCTAATGTATTAATCATACAGCATTAAGGTCGCCAATTGACAAAATCAATTTTACTTTTGTTTCAAACACCTTACCATAAAAATATCCTTATTTGATTAACGCCGTTTTTAACGTTTGATTACAACATAAATCATTAGTAAGACTTTTTTTAAGATGACGACATTTTAATGAAAATGTAACATAGTTTTATTTATACATACATGTTTGCATATTAACAATTTCATTTTGGACCATCAATAACAATCGTTTAATAGGCTACTATTTAAGAAAACGCTATATAACATAAAACAGTCATAATAACTTAAAAATACCTAACTATTGTCTATTATTTGAGGTAACCTTTTATAATGTTTATTTGATGCTTGTCTACAGGTATTATCACTTGGCGCAACGGGGGGCCACAAGGGGACCACACAACCGTCCCATCCCTGGACAATCCTCCACCATTCTCCTTATAAGGTAAGCAGTGCTTCGTTAATTAACGAATAAAAAAAATGAAATAATTAATTATTGATAGTTGATTTCTCTACAAATACATTGATAAAATAGTAGCAAAAAAACATTTTACCTATGTAAATTCCATTCGATTTATGTAATTCACATCCTTTTTTTATTTCCTTTAATTATAACAAAATTTATAGACACAATAGTTCAAACTAATTTTGATTAGACATTACTATCGATGAAGTTATAACTATCATATGACAACTTACTTCTTTGAAATTGATATCGTTTTATTGATACAAAAACAGTTAATCTCATACAAGGCTATAGTAAATCGTCATTAAATAGGAATAATCTATCATGATGATATTATATTATTCAATTATTTGTTCAAGATGATTCTTCTTTTATAGTAATCTATTACACATAGATATTATGCATGGAGGTCAGTCATCAATTAAAAATTAAACTTCCCGTTGTAAACTATTATGCTTAGTCTCGTTTTAAACTAAGTTGTAAATTTTGATACACTTTAACAAACTTAGTGGTTCGGCATGACACAACTTTTTTTCTGCCTCCAAAACATCTGAGAACGTTACGAAATAAAAAACAACAAAGTGTCTATGTATACTACAAAGTACATTGTGTACCAAATAGAGTTTGTTTGATGGACACCTGACACACTTTTTCAAAAAGAAACCAGGGTTAGTATAGCTGAGGCTTACTTTTTCAAGTGGTCTGCCTTTGTTAACAATAATTACTTTTATTAAAATCGTTTCTCCTAATGCGTTTACGGTGGTTAAACAAGTCACAAACATTGGATGATAATAAATAACGATTAAAATAAAAATGTCTTAAATGTGGCTCGACGAAAGTGTTCGTTACGAAGTCCAGGTCGATAATGTGAAGTTTCTCAGGTAAAGTTAACGCACTGACCTCATTTTTTTTATTCACGCAAAAGCGCCAAGTCGCTGTGCCCACATGCTATTAACTCTGCATCGTAATTAAAGCTACCACGTGAGCCATATCTTAGCTAACTCGGGCAAATAGATTTTTTTTCACATTTATGTTTTCTACACAACATTTCAGGCCGCTTGGGATTGGTTGATCCTTATATTGGTCATCTACACCGCGATATTTACACCGTATGTGGCTGCCTTCCAACTGAACGAGCCCGATTTCGACAAAAGATCGCGCAGCTTCGGAGAGGATCCAATAGTCGTTATCGACATGATAGGTAATTTACCTTTGACACTTCCTTTTAATAAATATCAGTCAAATTTGTAATGAATTGACTAAAACATTTTTGTGCAAGAAATAAATGGAATTGAAATATATTATATGACAGAGAGCTTCGTGTATTGTTGAAAAGCTTTCAACCAATTTCACTATGACATGTCGAATGACATATCATAACTTGATCAAATCAATAATTTATATATTTCAGTGGACGTGACGTTCATAATCGACATCCTTATAAATTTCCGTACGACATACGTTAATGCGGCGGATGAAGTTGAATCGGATCCGGCGAAGATCGCCATGCACTACTTGCGCGGATGGTTCATCATTGACCTGGTGGCTGCGATACCCTTCGACCTTCTTCTCTTCGGCACCAACACCGATGAAGTGAGCTGCTTTTTCACCGCGTCTACCATACAAACCCTATCCAATTTCACTACACACAAACACATATAAATAACATTAGAAATAGATATAAACGACAACAAATGCCTGACCCTTAGTGGGAAATAGAAACCAGATGATCAATTGTCCGAAACTAGTAAATAACTGATGAAGTAAACGTCTATCTCAGTGCTTAATATGAAGTAAATTAACCAAATAATAACCCATTTTAAGGTTTTAAAATAAATATTTCCTTGAACGTTGATAATAATAATTTTATATGGTGGACGATTTCACATTCATTTTACGTGAAGAAAGGACAGAAAAGTTAAAAGTAGGCCAAGATTCATTACTGCTGTGATCAATCCGATAATAATATCGTTTGATTTAAACTTTGATTTTACAGATTATTTTATAAGTTGAAATTAATTAAATAAGAAAAAATGAATCAACTTTTCGGACAAATGAAGTTCTGGACGTTCTTAGACCAACCACGTGTAGTTGCGGAATGCGTTGATTGCAATGGACACCGTTAAATTAATTCTATGCCACAAATTCAAATGACAGATTATATGCCGATCACGAATACGCCCCATGATTTGTATTGGCTTTTTATGTCGTTAAAAATAAAATTTTGACATTCAGTCATAAACATCGACGAATTTAAGTTTATTGTTATGCGATATATTTTGTTATCAGCCTCAAATACCAACACAAATTATGTAAATCAATAACAAATTTATTAAACTTAATTTAAAATAGGCTATTTCGATCCTTTTTATACGTAACTGTTTACTTTAATTTATCATACTTTATTTTGTAATACCTTCACATGGTATGACAGAGCCCAAGGTGGGTGCATACTGAATTTGTAATACCATTTCTTGTTACAGCAGGGGCTGGAAAGTGATGAGGTATACCATCTTTGTGAACTATTTTTTGTTGCTGCCACTATATTTTCCTAAACTTTAGTTTTATATTTTGATTCGTTGGTTTCCACTAGCTGTTAATTCACTAAGCGAATGCATAATGGAAGAGTTGGATGCTTCCCCCGAGCAAGAGTGTACTTTGTTTACGATCTTACACCACGGCAGAACTTAAGGAGCGCCCACTCGCTGCAATCACGAGCTTAGCTACAAAACATTTTAAAGACATTTTTAAGTAATCGATTTCTACGTCATCTTTATCACAATTTCTGCCTCCCATAATTGCTTGATTCAAAAGCAACCTGGAACTAGTAGATACAATGCAAACAAAAATTAAAGTAATGTTCTCGTATTTTTACGACTTGAGAAAGTATCTTGAGGTAATTTCTTTTTAATCTTGTCAAAAACCTAGAAATATGTTAGGCGTAGAGTAAACACTGAAAATAGTTAAAAAGACAGACGTAGAGAAATACGAACAAAAATCCTGTAGCGATTGTTATCGAGCTTAATTTGGATGTCTATATTCATATTCATGAGCTTCTTCCATAATTTGAGTGCAATAGTCACAAAGCGCACAGAGCTTGGTAAACAATACGCTCTCACTTCCCAGACTGATAAATCTTGTATAAAACAAACGAAATGCCTTTCACTACATATAAAAGCACGAACAAATCCTGAACATTATTATATTATTATGGCACCCACCTTCCATCTGACGAAAAAATTATCCTCATACATGTGTCTATATTTCATTTCTGTTTAACATTTAACATAACAAAATAATAATTTCATGATATATATTTTTTACAGTAACAATTATTTTATTACTCGTTTAATTAATACAATATTATTTGGTTTGTTTTCAAAGTTTTGTTTAACGCTAAATTTTCAATGACTATTTAAAACGAGTTTTGGAAGGCCAACTTATTTCCTGTTCAAATTAAATTTAAATTAAACATTCACATATTTATTAAGTAAACATAATATAAGTTTCTTAAAATTTTTGTGTTATTCAAAAAAAGGCAAAATGTTTTTGACAAAAGTCCACAAATTGAAAAATGCAATAATAATATACGTAGGGAGGATTATCCCTCAAACTTATTATGTACCTTATAACATATTACCAATATGGTTGTGATTTCATAAACTGTAAGTGATTGGTTTGTGTTAAAAGGTAACATAATAATAGAAAACAATCTATGAATTTGAATACATACACTTTTCAACGACATTTTTTTTAATGTAATTTAATGTCAAGCGTCGGTATAGATTATTTTTGTATTTTATTAATGACAGTACAAACCGTCATGCAATGATCAAATTCCGATAACAAAATTTAGTCAAAATTTCATTACACCGGAAACCAAAGGGTTTTTTATGTATGTCGATTTATAAAATATTTCCTTGATCTTGATGATTGAGCAGATTCATATTGAAAGGCCTAGTGAAATAATAGTATGTCAATATTTTTTTAAATATATATCCGTTATTTAAAAAAATAATTACAATAATAGTCACTTATGATACGAAATGAAATGAATTATTTAAAATAAACTTGTGGTACTCAGGGACTGCCACGAAAAGCTATTACATATAGCATTTTTTATCAACTTACGCAATTATAATTATTTACTTTTTATTTATGCAGTATTTTTTTTTTATATTAAGTAATTCAAGTTACACTTTTTGAGCGTGATGACCGATAAGAAAACATTTTTTTTCTTTTATTGAATAATTGATAAGTTAATATCGTTTAAAATATTTTTAGATAATAAAAATATTTTACAATGTAATATAGGTAATTTTTATCAACTATAGATTTATGGTAACTGAAATAAGAAACATAAATTTGAGACTTGATATCCTCTAAATATCATATCATCATATGATAATATAATAACATTATAATGTCATATTATAACATCCATCCGTGCGAGCTTCGTACAGTCGTACCATATACATACACGTTAAGCGAATGCTCGGCCAAGCTAATGGTAAGCGGACTGGAGGGGTGTTAGTTCTTTTTTTTTTCGTTACGGAATTACTTGATTCGGTCACCGCACTCAAAGCCCGCGATAAAAGCTAAGCAATAGCTTAAAAACCTTAATTTTTAAGCTATATTTGGGGTTTGGATTCTGATCATGAACTTAATAAGATTAAATAAAAAACCGATTAGGTGCGAGTCGAACTCGTACGCCTAGGGTTCCGCACCTACCCATTATACCGCCATTATAAAATTGGTAAATAATCACCATCGACTTTCTCAGGAACGGGTGGACATTTCTAGTTGAAATTTATACCAGATACTGAGGTCTATAGTCTCTATTCGGTGGATAAAAAGATATGGGTAAATTTAATTTTTCGTAAAAACTCATAAAGCAAGGTCAACACAAGTAAATGGAAAATTTAGATAAATTGCGGTACTTACACAATTTAAATTTGCCCTTATTTTTTTATCGTGTTAACTCAGGGCCTTGATTTTTACTTCTAATAGGGACTGTAGGCCTTAGTATCTGGTATAAATTTCAACTTGCTAGGTCCCTTTTCCTGCGAAAATAAGCCGTGACAGACGGACAAGAGAGTGATCTTATAAAGGTTGCTTTTTAACCTTTTAAGGTACGGAACCCTAAAAACGGGATTTAAATATAATTATTGGAGCGCGCAAATAGTATAATTTGAGGAATTAAACATTTATTTAAACTTGTGTAATTTAATTCAGATGTTAAAACAATATGTGAAATTACATCCTATAAAAAATGTATCGTTTGCGTTATCAATAGGATTTTATTACTTTGAACCCTGTAGACTTAAAACTTACAAGATCCTCATAAGCTTATAATAATTTAATCTAGATATTGATTCTCTCTATTGTGAAATAAATATCTGTGATGATATATAATTTTAGCTAGTGTTTTATTGAGATAGAGGGAATAGAGCTAGAATTTTATTGTTTAATTATTACTGAAGAATAATAGCCTAAAATAATCAAAACGTAAAACTTAGTTTAATTATGTACCTATTAGTTGAATTTTATGCACCGCAAAATATAACGAAGCCAGCTAATTTCATAGAAACCAAAACAATTGCTTCCATTGCAAACTTTAGCCCAGTTTGGCTGAGTAAAGAAGTCGCTCGCATAGTATATCTTAGACGAGTTTTTTGCTTGGTACGCGTGATTCGCTGCGAAGCCTCATTAATGCTAATCTATCATGAGCGTACGTTCATTAAGAGCTTTAATTCGATTGCGCATACGGTGGTGCGATGGCATTCCCTCGACTGAGCCAGCCTTCTGTTCGCAGACCACGACTCTCATCGGTTTGCTGAAAACAGCAAGGCTGTTGCGACTCGTGCGTGTCGCACGCAAAATTGATAGGTACTCGGAATATGGCACTGCCGTCCTACTCCTCCTTATGGCCACATTCGTCCTTTTTGCCCATTGGCTTGCGTGTATTTGGTAAGTGTTACGATTTTATTTTTAGAAACATCTCACGTGATCGACTCTCATGTATTATTATCGAGACATTTTGGTATTTGCCATTTTTCTAACTTTACTAATATAAGTAAGGTTAGAGAAATGGCAATAAATTTGTAGAAGTTATTTTTTTTTTCAGACATCTGTGTTGTAGGGCTGACTAAAATTGATTACCATGACACCATTTTATTTTAAGATTTGGTCATTTAAAACCTTTATATCATTTAACTTTTATCCAAACTCCTTATTTAATGTCGTGTTATTGCGTCTCTCTAAATATATATAACAAAAAAAACTAAGAACGCGGTTCCAAGTGAACTCTTACATACTCGAAAGAAAATTGAAACTACTTACCAAGGATCATTTCCAACGTAAAGAATTCCAGCCAACATTTTAATTCATCAGGTACGCAATCGGAAATTGGGAGAGACCTCAACTACAAGCTCCTATTGGCTGGTTGGATGCTCTTGCAAATGACGTACAAGCGACATACTATAACTCTACGGGTCCTTCAATGAGGTAGTTTATTTTTATAATATGTTTAACTACTTACATTATTCAAGTCTCTCTTCTATTTAAAATACTATTAGCTAGTTATCCATACTCATTATAATTACAGCAAATATTCTTAGTTTACTATTTATTCCTAGGGTTTAGAATTCTAACAGAACTAAAATAGTTTTGGTTTTTATTTAATTTACTTTAGAATACCTACTAAATTATTCTATTAGAAAACAAAATATGGTTTTATAAAAAGTTAGTTTAGATTTACGTTACCTACTATTTAAATTGATTTGGGCTTACTTTGTTTTAAAAATAGGTCATTCGGCAGTTTAATGACGAATACAACTTTACAGTTTGTTATTCTAGTCTAAAGGCTTCATTTCGTCATTTGTCATTATTAGCACCCGTAGATCATTTATGAAGCTCGTTTAGATGTCGTTAAGGTTAAAATAATTTTAATTTCAGGTCACGTTACATCACAGCTCTATATTTTACTTGCACCTCTCTTACCAGTGTGGGTTTTGGTAACGTGGCGCCTAACACCGATATGGAAAAAGGATTTACGATATTTGTTATGCTTCTTGGATGTTAGTATCACAAAGTACTAAATGCTTTTAATATAGTAGTATTTTTGTTACAATTAGCCGAAATAGTTTGAATTAGACATTTGCCCGGCACGAGCTATTCACGTTCCATTTCCCGAAGCACGTCCCCAGACGTAACAATAACAAAGTAATAGTTTAACAAGTAATTAAGAGGTATTACGAGATTTAATTTTATTTCACTCTTAGTGTTAATTTTAAAACAAACTGGAAGGAAGACAATTTTTAATTAAACATTGTTTCTCCACAGCGCTTATGTACGCTAGTATATTTGGTAATGTGTCTGCGATAATACAACGCCTTTACTCGGGCACTGCTCGTTATCATACGCAGATATTGAGAGTGCGTGAATTTATAAGATTTCATCAGGTAAGAATCTTATACCACCGTATGGTATAATCTCTTATAAATTAATTAAACATTTACACATTACAAATTAATTTATTTCCAATATTAGATCGCAAATCCCTTACGGCAAAGATTGGAGGAGTATTTTCAACACGCTTGGAGCTATACCAATGGAATTGATACTTCTAGTGTACTGAAAGGTTTCCCGGAGTGCCTTCAGGCTGACATCTGTTTGCATTTAAATCGAAACTTGTTAGCAAATTGTGCTGCATTTGAAGGTGCCAGCCCAGGTTGCTTGAGGTATGAAATGTAATTTTATGTTTCTCATTTTCTTACCTACTAGCTGTTATCCGCTTTTTATTACACACTATTTAGTTGACACTTATCATTACTTATTTTTTGTACAATTCACACAATATCTTTATATATTATTCTGATGTATAAGCTATATTATTGTAACTTTCATTAAAATCTATTCAGTAGTTTTTGTGCAAAAGAGTAACAAACATCCATCCATCCATACAAACTTTCCCCTTTATAATATTAGTTTTTTTTTTTTTGACTGGATGAGCCACTGTTGGCCTTAGGGGCCTTTACAGTTCCGACGGACTTGAGGTGGCCTGGCGCACGAGGCGCCTAGCCTGAACCTCTGCGTACTATTATTACGCGTTATGGTGACTAAGCTCGAGGGCTCCCTGGGGAGCCTCGGCTCGGGCCGTCACGCTATTATTATCGGAGTGATCAGGCTCAAGGGTACCCGAGAGGGGACCTCGGCTTGGGCTGTCACTCAGCACGCGTTTAGCATTCCGATTCGAGGGTGCCCGAGAGGGCCGGACCTCGGCTCGATCGGTAGGTATTATCTGACTGGGGGAATTACTAGAGCTAACATTACTACCACTTCGGAGAGCGTTGCCGCTGGGAGAAGAAGTGGCGGAAGAAACTCCAGCAACGCTTCTATCATTAATAGGGGAAAACCTGCCAGGTCCGTGGCGGAACCTAGTATATGTTTGCCGCACTCGCCGGCGAGTGCGGTGTGTGTTGGTGTTTTTTGAGTTTTTTGATCCTTTCGATGGCGATAGTCGTCTCATCGTCAGGGAAGTCGAGAACGTGACGCGATCTTCGGTAATCGCGGCGGAAAATATTTAGCGGCAAGGGCCTGTAGGTGACGGCACCTACGATAAGTGGGTTGGGATGCGCGGCGGCGGAATCGAAATATCGGCGCGACGCCGACTTCAGGAATTGCGCGATGGTGGGCAATTCTAGATCGACATGTAGGTCGATATTGGGCATGAACCAGGGTGCTCCCGTGGCTCTGCGCAATAATCGATTTTGAATCACCTGAAGCCGGTGTATTTGCTTCGGAGCAATGTGAGCGAAGACGGGGCTCGCGTACGTCATGATAGGGCGAACTACTGCCTTATATAGGGTCACCTTGTTCCGAAGGGACATTTTAGACGTTTTATTGAGGAGCGGGTAGAGGCGACCGAGTACGAAGGCCGCCCGGTTCCTGACCTGGGTCACGTGCTGGGTGAATTTAAGCTGGGAGTCGAGGACGACGCCTAGATACTTGACTTTATTAACCCATGGTACTGGGCTGTCCAAGAGTTTAACGGGGGGTGGTATGGGTACGTTCTTTTTGTGCGCGAAAAGGACGGCCGCGCTTTTGGCGGGATTGATCTCGATCCTCCATTGCCAAAACCAGTCACCGATGGTGATGGCCGCAGCTTGGAGGCGTCGATGGATCAATTCGGGTGTTCTGCCTGTGGTATAGATACAGGTGTCGTCGGCAAAAAGAGCAAGTTCTACATCTTTGACACGCGGCATGTCATTGGTGTAGAGAGTGAACAAGACTGGGCCCAACACCGACCCTTGGTGCACCCCGGCTCGAACGGGATGCGTAGTCGAACACACGCCCTCGACGCGATAGCGAAAGGTTCGATTCGTTAGGAAGTCTCGTATTATGCATACGAGACGGTCAGGCACTCCGTACCCGTATAGCTTGTATACGAGCCCGTTGTGCCAGACTTTGTCGAACGCTTTTGAAGCGTGCGACGCAGGAAGAGTGCACCGGTGTTGAGTCCACGTTGGCGTTTGGTTAATATGTGCTCCGTGATGCGGTGCACTTGGTGGGTACATGAGTGTTTGGCTCTGAATCCAAACTGCTCTGGGATGGGGAGCCCTTTGGTGTCCATAAGGGATCTTAAGCGGGCTAATATTAGTCTTTCAAAGATCTTCCCAAATGTTTTGAGAAGACTTATTGGACGATATGAGGTTGGGAGAGTGGCGGGTTTAGGGGGTTTGATGAACCCTATGACATCGGCTTCCTTCCATTCGGATGGGAAGAAGCCTTCGGTTAAGGCCGCGTTGTAAATTAATACTAGTATCTGAAGGATGCTAGTAGGGAGGAGCTTGGTCACCTTATTGGTGATTCCATCTGAGCCTGGTGCTTTACGGGGGCGTAGTTTTTTAATGGTCTATACTAGTTCTAGGCACGTGACCGGGGGAACGGGATCGCGGAGTGGCTCTAAAGCTTTCCTTTCGACCTCTTCGTTCACCTTGCGGAGGTGTTCGGGGTCGATCGGAAGCAGACTGGGGGAGCATTAAGACTCTAGGCTGTCAGCCAGGCATTCGGCCTCTCTTCGTCCAGCATTGCTGGCGTACCTATCGGACGGACTAGTGGCGGCATGGTTGTTATGCCGTTACCCTTGAGGGATTTGGGAAGTTTCCAGAAGGCTACGTGGGATGGTTTTACTGAAGTTAGGGTGGAGTCCCATCGTTCGTTTCGTGAGTCTGCTATGCGTGTTTTGACCTCACGCTGCAATTTACGTAGCAGTCTACGATTCGAGTCGGATATCTATCATAGGCTCGAGTGGCTGCGTTCTTGCGTCTCAGCAAGTCTCGCACATCGTCTGGCAGGGCCCAGCGATGGTCTTCCATCGCCGGGACCTGTCTCGAGCATTGCTCGACGACGGTGTTGACGTGGCTTGTGAGGGCTCGAATTGCGGTTTCCGTGTCCTGTTTGGTATTTAATTCTTTAGGGATTGACTCTAGTTGTGGAGGATTAGGTTCGTTATATTTAGATTTGATTTTATGCCAGCTGATGACAGTTTTGGTTAGGGGAGCGGCTGTTGCTGAAGGCCCTAGCCGGAGGAGAACTGGTCGGTGATCGGAGTGAAGCTCGTGTATCACTTCCGGTTTGCATAAGGAGAGACTGATGTTTTTGATGAGTGCAATGTCAAGCACATCCGATGTGTGTCCCTCTACGTATGGAAAGCGCGTATGTTCGACGGGGGCAGCGACTTCAAAGTCGAGCCTGTCGGATAGCGAGTCGAGTGCGGTGCCTCGACTCGCTATCCGACAGGCGTACAGTTGGTACGTGTCGAGTTCCATCGGGTGTGCTTGCTGTTGAAGTCGCCAGCTAGGATTGTGGCTCCTCCTATAGAGAAGAGGGCCTCAAAATCTGATTGCAATATTAATGCGGTTGGTCTACAAGGGAGGTAAACTGATGCTATGGTGATAGGAGAGTGGCCGGTTAAAGCCAGCTGACAGACGGAGGCCTCGAGATGCGTGAGCGCGGGCGCGTCTACCGGTACGCAATGGAGAGATTTTTTATAGTAAATAAGTGTGCCGCCGCCCGGGGCGCCGACACGATCGTTCCTAACTATTCGATAATTGGGGATGTTCGGATCCCTTGTCGCGGGTTTCAGGAGCGTCTCCTGAATAAGAAGTATATCGATTTGGTGGTCGCGTAAGAAAATACGTATTTCGTCGCGCTGTTCTTTTAACCCGTTCGCGTTGTAGAAGGCTACGTTAATCGATCGCGGTTTAGCTCTGCCGTCATTACGCGTAGCAGAGGGACTGACATTCGCGGTGGTATTACTATTAGGTGTAGTAGCCATTGAGGGGCCTAAGAGGAGAGCGCACACACGATGTGCGGATACCTACACACGAGTTCGATCCTAGTATGTAGGTCTGCTTTTGCGTACTGTTCCGCAAAAGTCATGAATTCCGTCATATTGACGGTACGGGCGAGCCTTGTGAGTGACTCGAAGGGGTTACCTCCGGCCGCAGGGCTGGGCGGGGGACGAGTGTTGGTTGCGCGGTGGGTTGTGGAAACATTGCTTCTGCAATGCGCGGGTTTGGTTTGGCCCATGCGGGGGCCATAGGGTTCTGCCACGCGGGGCGCAATGGAGGAAAAGAGGCGGCCGTAGGAACCGGCGGCCTTCTAACTGCCTGAGTGGCAGGCTTAAACGGTTTGCGCTTTGGCGCTTTAGGGCAACCTAGGTAGTCGGCAGTGTGTCCTTCCGACTGGCAGAGTACGCAGGCGGGGGGGCCGAAATTGCTGAGGAGTGCTTTGTCCCTTGGTCTGGGACAATCGGGAGTGCCATGATCGCCTAGGCACTTGACGCACCTGGGCTTGGCGAAGCAGTTGCGTGCCACGTGCCCGTACAATTGGCACTTGTGGCACTGTCCAGGAAGAGATCCCTTGTGAGGGGGTTCGACTATGATGTTGGTGAGGCCGAGCACCGACTTAAGGTCGAAAATGGCCTTACCTTCTGGGGTGAGATCCAAATGGACAAGGACCATGTCAATCGGTCTTTTCATCCGCTTGCTTTTCATGCGGTGGACTGAGTGTACAGGGAGGTTTTGTTCCTTAAGGGATTCCAAGACCTCTTCGGTGGCGATGTTCCTAGGGATCATCTTTATAACGACGCGGAGGATTCGGTCTTCCGCGAGTGTATACGTGTGGTAATAGACCTCCTTTTCGCGGAGGAATTGGGACACGCTGCGATGGGAATCAGCTGTTTCAAGCTGCATCTTGATGCCCTGAGTAGTGACGGTCGCGACGAATTTTACCCTATTTGACAGGGCGGACGCGATCATAGGCCACTTTTCGGTGTCCTGAATAAATAACGGTGGCGGGCGTTTATCCTGCGGCGCGCGTGGGGCGGCGGGAGGCGCGGGGGCCGCGGGTTTGGCGGCTGGAGGAGTTGAGGTCGGGGTCGCTGACGGCGATAGAGCGGGTGCGGGTTTGGAAGGCCCTGCCTCGGCCGTTTCGGACGGCCTAGATGCCTTAACCGGCACGGGGGATGGAGCCGTGGAGGACGGCTGGGAGTTGCGCTTCTTCCTCTTTTTCTTATTCACCACTTCGGTGAATAAGCCGCCATCATTAGAGGAGAGGGGCGTGTCGAGTTCCATCTCTTCTTGAGAGGAGGAATTTGCTGAAGCTTCAGCGGAGGAGGAGGCCCTTGAAGAGGGCCTTGATAAATCCTTGAGTGCCAGAAGGGCATCTCGCAAGGCGTCGGGGTATTTGGCTTGGAGGAGTCCAAGAATGGTCTTTAATTCGGCCATTATGGGATAATTATCCTACTACCATTAGTCCTAATCCTAATAGGTCGCGGTGGGATACCGGGGTGAGTGCCCGTATCCCTCCCTGCCGGGTATAGGCAGGGAGGATGAGTGCCTGAATTGTGTGACCCTAGTGCGTGCTTGTGCCGATCTTATTGTGCACACGGGTGTGTACTTATAGCTAATTAAAACTACCCGAGGGCGCTAAAAGGCCAAACGTGGACCACCGCTGCCTAGGGACTACACCAAGCCAGTGATGGTGGTCCCTTCCGAAAATTCGCGGTTCTCAGGAGAGAACCACAAGGCGATCGGGGCAAGCCTTGGCTAGCTTCGTTAGCACCGTTAGGTATCCACTAGCCCTAAGACGTTTGAAACAGAACCGCTACTAAGCGCGTTGGTCGGCGCAGTCAAAACTGCACCTCGCAACTCGACTTGCGAGCGGGGTGTCCACTCGTAATAAAAATCACGAGTGAACGCGGCGCGCGGTGCGCGACGACTGAGCGTCCGCGGCGAGCGAGTCGGCACGCGGAAGCGGACAGGGGTGGGGGGTAGCAAAAGCAGAGAGAGCGCGGGCCAAGGCGTGCGTTCGTCTCGACTGTTGCGAGCGGAATGTAATATTAGTAAGGATGTTAAAGGTATACAAAAGAGCCGGCGGTTCGCCTGTTGTCCAGTAATTACCGCCGCCCATGGACAACACCTGACGGGTTGCCGATGCATTATCAACATTAAAAAACAATCGCGACAATAAATGAACACACACATAGAGGAAAACTTTTTAAAACTGTATTAAACATTTACATTCTTTAAACTTCAATATTTACAGAGTTATTGAATTTTCCAAAACAAAGAATTTTAGAACACCCTTACATATAAAACAGTAAATGTAAAGTTCAAGTTTCTGTGGAAAAGAATGCAAAAAGTCTCTGAATGTATGAATCAGCCAGTTGTAATTGTACACGATGTTACAAGTTTTATTTCTTTTTTACTTAATTAGTTTATTTGAAAAATATTTTTTTTTCATTATGGATATTTTTTAACGTTAATATTTTTAATGATTATTGGCAAGTAGCGTTAGACGTGTGTTCATTTATTGTCGCGATGGTAACGACACGCTGTATATCCATTGGACCTAATACAACTAATATTTAAAAAATTAAATAAATTTAGCGAGCATATTTGCACACAGCACAAGAAACATAGTTTTGTAACGGTGCCTTTTACACAGAAAAATATAAAAAATACATTATGTTTCTTAGGACCGTTAAGTTTAAACAAGACTAAGAAAATATTTTGCACAATTTCGAATGCGTTAATCTTTAGAATCTACTATCACTAGTCGTCTTGTAGATTTTATCAATTAGATAAAACCTATCCCTTTCCCATAATAAAACCATAAAGAAAAATGTTCTGACCTAAACGTATCTAATATAATCGTTTTTCAGGGCCCTTTCGTTAAGATTTAAAACTACACACGCACCACCTGGAGAAACCCTGGTCCACCGTGGAGATGTTTTAACATCATTATATTTTATTTCAAGAGGATCAATCGAAATTTTAAAAGACGACATTGTCATGGCCATATTAGGTAAATTAAGAGAACGTTAATTTACAAAAATATTCTTTACCTGCATTGCAAAATTATTCCAGATTTATTTAATTCCGGACGATGCAGTTTTGTTTTTACTCACTCGCAAATAATCATTGAAACTATGAAGCTGTATTTACATATTTATTTAAATAATTCTTATCATTTTGTAATATGCATATCAGATATCTAAGATAATATATCGAAAACGTATCTGTCATTACTTTTACATGTTTACTTGTTTAGTACCTATATCTAGATAAAAAAATATATATTTTAGACCTTGAAGAAACATAATAATAAAATTAACAATAGTAAATTTTATACATATTTATATCTAACAGTGAAGTAAAATAATAGCTTATATACATGTCATATTGTTAGGCACAGGCCTCTTCTATACAGCGGGTGGTTAGAGATAACAATTTCATTCGTGCCGGCACCAGGGATCGAATTCCGGTTGCTCGAGTATATTGAATTAAAGGCGAGCGCCCAGAAACTGAGTTTAAAACGTGATAAGATCTGTAAACCAATTTCATTAAAAATGTATTATTTCATTTTTATACAAGCCTCTGAAGCTCATTTTAATTAGTAGGCATTTTATGATCATTTACTAATAAGGTTAAAAAATATGGAATATGTTAGCCTCATGTGGAATAAGATAACGTCCAACTTTTTATGTTGCATCATGTCCGTGTATAGACCACAAATTAATCGAAAATTTGTGACAGGGTTAAAACTGTAGTGATCAATTATACATTAATGCGCCAATACTTGATACATAAATCCATAGTAGCATTCACTCGAAGCCAATAAACGACACAATTATTAAAACGGATGGCCTTTATGGCATGACTCCGCAGGAAAGGACGACATCTTTGGCGAAAATCCTTGCGTCTACTCGAGCGTGGGACGGAGTAACTGTCGTGTTCGCGCCCTAACATACTGCGACTTGCACAGAGTGCATCGTGACGACTTGTTGGACGTCCTCGACATCTACCCAGAGTTCCGCTCCACGTTCGTCAACAACTTGGAGATCACGTACAACATGAGAGACGTTAGTGTGCCATTTAAACTGCATTTTGTTTTCGACACAAATATTTTTTATTCTTTCCTTCTTTAGATAAGCTTATTTTCTTTATACAAAGAAAATATTATTGCACGATTTAATGATAACACTTTGTGTACGGAGAAAAGATAAATTAAGTTCATCAACCGTAGTGTACAAAGCACCTGTTTCTTGTGTTAATGGAAGATTTTTTTGCTTTATGCAGAAAAAAGGGAAGCACGAAACCACATCGACCCACAATTTTCATTTTCATTTGCATTAAATCTTTTGAAAATGAAATTTGAAATAACACTATATAAAAGATCTTAAAGCAATATATGTTAATATTGACTACTGACGATAACGGTTTGGTGATTTCAAACAATTAAATACAGACATGACGGGGCAGAAAGAGTTCTGGTGTCGGCAAGAGAATATATATTGTTATATATATATATATATATATATATATATATATATATTGTTGTAATTGGTATCTAATATATACATGTGAGTATATTATTATTTTATTATATAACATAATAATGTACAGTAATATATACGTTTAGTTTATTTAGGTGTTAGTATGTACTTTGTAAGTTCATCATTTGCACCATCTACCATTGTCCAAAGCAATGCTACTTTTAGCCACAAGGTTGTCTGGAACAGATCGTTTCTCAGTGATGAGACAGCCTTATTGTATCTGCCTATTAAGTTGTTCTTTCTGTAACATTTCCTTTTATGTTTTTGTGGTGGTCAATTAAGCATATACCTATGCATACATATATACATCTATGAATAAATGGTGCAACAAAAATTAAGTATTATAACAATTAATAATAAATACTATTTCGTTAACAGGAGGAGCTGGGTGGTATTGAGCCTCGACGCCGAATGCGATACGAAAATCCTTACGACGCGCGTCTCCTGCGTGAAGCCTACGCACGCAATGCGCGTCGCCATCACGCAGAAACTTTTGCTGATAAGGTAACCCCTAATTTGTAAATTGTGGAAAACAAAACATAAAAAAAGTAAAGTAACATCATATATATGTCCAACTGCTGGGCAAAGGCCTCCATTGTACACAAGCTTTTAGGGCATAGTCCACGCGTCCTGCGGATTGGCGGACACATATCTTCGAATTATTTTTTTGTTTTTATTTAAAAAATATTCAGGTATCCTTACGATGTTTTTCTTCACCGCTGAGCACGTGATAACTTACTAATTCTGAATTAATCGTAATTTTTTTAATCCATAAAATTTACCACAATCAATTATGACTACAATATATTTACTGTTCCACGCAGCCTTCGCTTTTGTACGAATAAGCAGGTTCGCACGGGGAAGTACCACGAGCACAGAAGACCGGCGTGTAGTGGAAGTATAATACTTATAACATACGAAAGTTTAATACCGCTGCGATTCGTCTAGTGAGAGGTAACCAGGGTCCACTTTATTAAAAGGTCAAAGCAACGCGTCTGCAACCCTACGGGTGTTGCAAATGTCCACGTGCGGTGGTTGGCATAAGAAGAACCGCCAGCTAGCTTACCTTCTCACATAAAAAATTAAGAATTAATAAACAATGTTACTCAGTGAAATTCTTATAGGACTCGCAGTGCAGCGATGAAGACACAGAGTCACCAGCCAGTCGAGGCATTCTCGAATTTTCGGCGGACAAAGCTGGACAAGACGTCACACCTCTCAACTTTAACTTCAGCAAACAGCGTTCCACGACTCTAAATTCTATAACGGGTGAGCAATTAAAAGAAATATGCAAGGAATATAAACTAAGCACTTACTTTCTTATTTTACATTTAGAGACCAAGCGTTACATTGATACTCTTTTTATGAACAAAATTTATAACAATCAGCTGTAGCTGAATCCATTTTTATCAAAAAGACAATTACACAAAATGATATGGAGCAAAGGTATATTTTTTTTAAACTTAACTTTTACAGTTACAAAATTAAATTTTAGTTATCAAATAGCGCTCGGTTAGTAAATACTGAATACAATTAATATAGAGTAGACGCACATACAAATTTTATAAACATATGTGCAAAACCCTTTTATAAATATGTCCTTTTTCCGATTAAGTAACTTCACGACACTAACTACTTAGATATCTCTCATCAGAAAGTATTTTTAAGTTCTCTCTCCACTTGTTTACTTTTCAGGTAGTAATATAGTATCCTAGTAATACCGATATTCAAGTACAAGATTTTTTTATTTAAAATGGATATTTTAGAAAACATTTCTATTTAAATTTGTTTTTTTAAGGGTAATGAGAAGGTTTTATTTAATTATTTATACAAAATAATAATATAAAATACTGTAAAAATAAGAGCTTCCTTAATCCTAACAATTCATTCATTGAGAATAACACTATATTGGCTACAGTAACATATAATGTGTAATTTTTAGTTTGAATTTGTCATTTATGGTTTAAAATAAAATTTCAAACATTGGCGCCGAAATTGATAACAAAACGTCATGAAGCTTTTGTTTCTACTTGTTTATGTGACTAATTATTTTTCTTACCGAGTTTGCCAGCATGTGTTATGCTTGATCCCAAATATTATGTAACTTCTCCCACCCCGGCCGGCAACTCAAGCGAGTGAGTTATGGTAATCGGTTTTATAGAGGTGTTATAGTGCAGGCATTTTGTTTTTATGGGAGGGGGTTGCAGACGGTTATGATCCCGATGTTAAGTGATCATCGCCGCCGCTTGGAGATTCTCGAAATCTGTGAAAACGCTTGTATTCGAGCCAACCATTAAAAGATGGACCTGAGCAGAAATAAAAGCATAACTAATTCCACTTTACCTAACTAAAGTACTTAGATAATAGGATATATAAATATTATCGCCGTCATGAGTGTCGAAGGGTCGTCTAGCACAATTCTTGATCTAAAAAAAATGTCTAACCATAACTCTCTCGGCCATTTTGCGCCACCCCTGTCCCGCTCTGAGCGCGGCCCTTGTGTGCAGGCATGCTAGCGCAACTTAAACGGAGCTTCCCAGACCTCTACCACCATAAAACGCATCAGCCGCTACACAACAAATACTGTGAGTACTCATTACAGTTTTAGTGCATGTTCTAAGGAATGACAGTAACGTAATCATATCTCAAAGATTTATCTGTACCAATAAAATGTTACTAAAGTTTTACATTGCAGTTTTTGAGAAGAAACCGTTTAATTCGCAAAGAACATGAAAAAATTTAAAGAGTCAGTTGAGCAGTAAAGTTTTACAGAACTTTTGATCGCTTGTTACAGAGTTATTGGTTAAAGAAAAAGTTTAAACTCAAGCTAACACAATATGTTGCAATATTCCAGCGCAATCAACACCGCAAACGTATCGCGGCCGTGCCAGCGTGCGACGCCAGTCGTCAGTAGGGCCTCTGAACGATACCTCACCGCTGACGGGCGGCGCAGCTGCCGACGAGCCGGCCGTGAGCACGCCAGCGCACAGTGCAACACTGCCCGTTTCCAGTCTTAGCACGAACCCCAGCTCGTACTACACTAACGCGTCGCCGAGTCCCCCCGCGGCGCCGTCCGCCCCCGTCCACGTGTCATGTGACGACATACTAGCGCCATCGAGTCATCCGCCCGTGGCGCGCACTCCTTCCTGCCGGTCGGCACCACACTCCGCAATTAATCTACAACAAGCAGGTCGCCCCACTGCTCTACCATTTTCTGCAGAAAAAGCCCAGAATGGTACTAACGCACAGGTACCGTTTTCACCAATGATATTTATCATACATCGGTAGGTGATAAAGTGTAATTAAACTTGTTGTTCCCAGGATGTAATTTCCCCACAATATCAAAATGTGGGTCCTGCCGCGACGGCTGCCTCTGTAGCCACCGTTTTGACGAAAGTAGAAGAGCTCAGTAGGCGGGTGGCGTCGCTTGAGAACGGCCTCACGGCCGACGTACGGCGGATCTTGCAGCTGCTCCAGGCCCGCGAGCCGGCGTCGACACACAACCCGCAAGCGGCCCACACGCCTTCGCAACCACTACCGAAAGCGTCGCTTTCCGTGCCTCAGGGTGACGTATGTACGCCGATCGCGTGTTACTAGTCGTCGATTTGGTCTGTGCCTCGACCGTGCTCGTTTCTGATCAGAACCAGTGGGAGTGGAATTGGAACGGGGAGCGGGAGCGCAACTCGGCGCGACAGGGGCGGGGAGAGCGCGCGCCGGGCGTGCAGCGCTCGGCGTCGGAGCCGCACGCGCCCGTGCCGCCGGCGCTGCCGCCGCCGCCGCACTCGCACTCTTTCTACAGGTAGTGTGAGGCGGGCGAGTCGAGCGCCCCCCGCTGCGGACGCTCGACGCGCTCGCTCGCCGAGTCGGCCTCGTGCGGCTCGCTGGCGAGCGGCTCGTCGAGCCCGCCGGAGCCGCCCGCGTCCGCCACCAGCGGCACGCGCGCCCCCGCGCCGCGCGCTCGCTTCCACTTCTGCCGGCGCATCGCGCGCGTCCCTCACCCACACGCGCGCACCTTCCTGTGACGACCCGACGCATGGACCAATTTTGTACTTCCGTTGATGCCTAAGTAAAACGTCCTCGCTCACCAGCGGGCGACTCACGCCGCCCGTTCTGTCCAATGGTGAAAATTCACGAAGCGTTTTCGTGGCAACGATGAACAGAGGAACGTCCAGAATCGAATCTGATAAACGAGCGGACATATTAGCTCTTGGTTACGTAGGCTGTATGTACATCAATGAACGCCTCTTGTGGATTTACGGGTGGTTTTTGATGCGACAATTGTCGGACACATTGGGTGCTTTAATTTTTTCGTAGTTTACAGATTCTAAAAAGAAGCTGTTTATACATTTTTATTGGTAATTAATAATTGTCTATGATATGCAAAATCACTTTTGATCTTTTTCTATTCATTTGTTTAAATGCAACAACAGATTCGGGTTCAAACTTTTTTTTAAGTGAAATGTGTAAATAATTTCGATCTCAGCTACGCAGTATGAAGTTTATAAGACTGAGACACTACGTAATAACCGTGAACTGTATTTCCAGAAGGGAGTAAACGAAAAACGCTTTCTACCCGTCCTTGCTCCTTGCCTTTACATTGTAGCTAGGTAATATCTAACACTACTTTGATCAAAAAACACTTTGAAATGCTCTTTGTGGAAGTGCGTTTATCAGAATTCACTTGAGTCATTCATTATTAACAAAATAAACGGTTAAGCCAATAACATCGTTGCTGCATGCTAGAATTGTTCATAAGAAAAAAAGTTGTTTTGTGATAAAGAAAACTAAATGTAACTTAAGCCTCAATTTCGTTAAAATTGTAAACAGGTACATGTTGATAATATTTTTTCAAAACGGTATTCTGTTTAACACTCGTAATAATCGAACCCTTTGTAATTAAAGTTTATCATATTATTTATATAGTTCGTAAAATTTTGGTAATATCGACGCTCAAAAAATATTCATTGTTTTTGTTGTATCATACTTATAAACTAGTTACCGAGTAAGGAATTATTGTAAGCAATAATGAAACATACCGTATTGTAAGTACCGAGATCAATACTGTACATAATATTGCTATCGCATTCATTATTACAATGTAAATTTCAATACCGATTGTGCATTCTGCTTTATTCAACGCTCACCGCTACAGTAAGTTTTTAGACGAAATGATATTGGCGTATTGAAACAAGCCCCAATTATTTTATAATTACAAACATTAAACAAATTAGTTATAACAGAATCGCAATCAAGGTTTTCGACAGAAAAAGTTTATCGATTTAAAACAGATTGGCAAACTCGAGTTCAAAATTTTAACGTCGAGCCAAACGTATCATTTTCTGAATCTCTAAACGCATAGACATTAAGACTACTACCTATGAATCAAATAATTAGTGTGCCCACTGCCCAGTGTCAAAGCCATTAAAAGTTTCAACAAATTATTTATGTCGTGCGTCTAATAACCATTGGCTAACGCAATCTGCTGATAACTTTTAGCTAGAGCTAGTTACTAAAAGTCCGTAAACAAAACTATTTCATCTTACATGATATCCATTGCTTTTTATATAATATAATAACAAAAAAATGTTAAAATTAATGAGGTAGGTACGAAAAAAACTCCATGAATAACAAATTTGTTATGAATAAAACTAATACACAATCGAACAAATAAACTTTTTTAAATACAGAAGCAATATGAAAACATATCCAATAATATGACTTATCTCTGAATAGAATGGACATTCTGGCACATGAATTCATTTGTTTTAGGTTAAATTTACACTAACTTTCATTACAGAACAGTCAACTCACGTCGAATGTAAGTTGTATTTTAATTAATTTCGTTAATAACAAAATAAACATAAGGGCTGACCCACTCTCAATTTAAAAGTTTCAGTATATGTTTTCTGTAAAAATTAGGTAATTTTCTGGTGTCCGTGTGTTTATTTCACACTGTGGAGCTTAGAAACTGTTCAATTTTTATTTTTTAAATCCGTACCTTCCTACCTTAAATTTGCATATGAATTATTTGCAGTTAAAAATAATAGATAATCCAGAAAACCAAAACAATACTTGGGAAAATATGAGATGCCCAGTGCATGCGAAAACCAACTCTATTTGATAAATTAAAAGACTTCGTAAACTAGTTTCGATTGAGTTCTTTAATTTACTTCGCTGACTAGTATTTAGAATGTAGGTAGAAATAAATAGGTTTGTAATTTGGTCAATTGCGCAACGTAGTAAGTACACGTAATCTCAAATCTCTATACTTAAATTATGTAATGAAATAATTATTGCTTTGCTACGATTTACTTATATATACGCAAGCACACTAGTCCTTTGCTTTCGTAGTAGTAGAAATTCGTAATCGTACTTGTATTATTAAACTTACCTAAATTATACCTATTCGTAAATATAGCTCTATCATTACAAATTCAAAATATTTCATTAATTTTTAAAAGCTCCTTACAAGAAATAAAATTATTATGTTTTCTCATTCATTTCTGATCAAAAATTATCATGCACAATAAACTGTTTAAAAAGCCTGCACAAATTAAGTCTACAATAAAATGTAATATAAAATTCCAAACTTCCTTTTTTTAAAAAGCATAGCAATGACATTACCTTTTTTGTCAATTGTCTTTTTTTTTTTATTTGTTTAATATAAAGAAATAATGTTATAATATAGTCTTTATATCTTTCTGTTTTGTAAAATGTTTAACTAATAAGGTGTTACATTGACGTCATGCTATAAAACGCACAATATAAAATCCATTGAAATATCGTTCTTCGAATTTATAATTTCAGCTTTTATTCAATATGAGATCTATTAGATGCACTGTGCAAAAGTTCTATGACTGCTAAATCTAATAGGTAATTCTTTATAGCGCTTCTAAGCACAGGGTGTTTTGAGTTTTACAATTGTAGGTACCTATTAGCTCTATAGTCAATAAATTAATATTAAATTAGATCTGTAATATGAGACGTATACACGAAGTTTATAATTTGCTTACAATTCAGGCCCGCACAGGTTTCTTAAGCTGAACATAATTTCCTGTTATATCTATAAAATAATCATCAAATAGATAACTCAAATAAATCATTTAAGACAAATGACGAATAAGAATTAAAATGAAAATCTGAATAAAATACTTAGTAACACTTTTTGTTATGGACTCACTTAATAAGGCTTTGTATATTTTTCATTTGCAAAACTACTTGACTGATTGCTAATAATCATTTATTAAAACATAATTTTCTGGTAAACTTATCGAAATCATACTTACTTTGAAAACGTTCCAATACGACATTTCAAGAAAAAGACAAGAACGCGAAAAAACTAACCATTCCAAGTAAGGTATTATTGCATAATATTTTTTATGTTTAAGGATAATTGTGAAAAAAGTTAAAGCAGACAATTCGTTCTTTCTAACTTTTCATTAAATATTAGATGAAATTATAATTTTAATGAATAAAAACGTGAAGACAATATACTCTTTGACAAATCAAATTATAAAGTTAGTTAAAAAATCATGGTGTCGCATTTACTGGAATAAAATGTTAAGTACTTACATCATTTTAAATATTGTAGATTAACAGTGTAGAGTGATAAAAATTATTGAGTATACATAAAAAGGGGCCTCAGTCCAACGCTTCAAAAGGTAAAAAGATAAAAGCAGTAAACACCATTCGATAAAGATAAAAATAAGAGTGGTTTAAATGTTAACGAAAGGTATCAATATAAATTCAATATTTCTAATTTTTAAGAACTTTAACAAAATTTTTGTACATAATATTTATTAATTTTGCCTTAAAATTATTTAACTGAACGCGCAAACTTTAAATTCGTTAAATAATTATGCATTTGTCAACGATATCACTTAACTATAATATCGCTTAATGGTTAACCTTTTAAAATTGTTGCCTTGAATTAATATTTTTAGTCAGAAAACTGGTTGTTTCAGCATTTAAAAACACGTAATTATATGATATTAGAATATTGTATTAATAAGTTTAGTATTTTATATTTCATCAACATTAAACGCAGAAACATGCGTATGAATAATAATAATTAGTAATTTTGTCTGTGATCGAAATTTTATATTGTTAAGCTGGAAAATAAATCATGTCACTTATAATTTATATTTATATTTATCTATACATTCTGTAACAAAACGTAACTGTAATTTATAAAAATATCCAAAATAATTTTTTTTTCTATAATATTACGGCGCACAGAATGTATATTTAAGTGTAAAAAATCGTTGTACGATTTTTGTCTGTAAGTTTTGATTTTATTATTGTGATATCTTATTCACTTACACAAGCTATTTAAGTTTTGTTACACAAAATCTTATTCTAAAGCATGTTGCGTGTTTTAGTGCAAAGCGTCTCATTTTCATAATATTAGATAATAAGCACAATGGAAACAAATATTTACGTATGCCGAAACTTATTACAAATCAAGATCTGGGAGGAAAAGAAGTTTAGGTAGATAGATACGCAAGGTTTCGTATGTAGAATGTCAGTTTTTAACGGTAAAGCTCTTTTCGTATAGTGTGTAGCTGCTTGCTCAACACTAAACGATGCCATTTTTAACAATTATTAGTCAATCACCTGAACATTATTTATTTTTTATAGAAGATTAAATGAACAAGATATTTCTTCTATATCAAACTCTTTCGTCCGTCGTCTTCATTTCTAACTTTTTTCGTCTACCTGTACCTACTTCAAATAGTTGCAAGCTTATCAAATGAGGTATTATAGTGTTTTTTAAACCTCTGTAGTTGAATTATTCACTGACTGGTAAAATTATGAACAGCTTATTTTAAAGTAAACCACTTATTTAACGCTTTAAGAGTAATTTTTATACAACGTTATTATTGAACGTTTGCCCATAATTGTTACACAAGTCGATAATATCTGAAAACGTGCTAATTATTGTACAAGTGTTTGTATTAATTATTTTACATAAACAGAGCACATTAGGTAAATAGTTATTAAAACTTTGCATTAATTGAACAGCGCAAAATTATCGTTGAATATCTAAATAAGATCAATGAAAATAAAATATCACGCACATGCGACATGTTGTTTTATTTAATATGTTTTAGTAATACCGCGGTCGGTCAGAAGTCGATTATAATGACCATAATGCAGTATTAGAACTTTTTGTAAAGGGCATATTTAAAAAAATGGAACTAAAGATATTGTGTTGGATTTATTTGCAACCAACATATGTTTTCCCTATTTGTTATAAGTGACAATCGAATGAAATTTAAAATTTCCCTAATGATATCCGCTATCCGCATGCAAGCAATGATATTTTATACTACGGATTTATTGGGAACGTGCCCGGAGTGAAGGCACTTCGCCACTTTGGAAGAAAGATGCTCGAAGTGGACATTTAAATCCCATCGTTGATCTAGTACTTAGCCGAGATACCTTATCGTAGGTCTTACGTCGACACGGACCCTACATACAACTACGTGAGCATCCTCAGCTGGCGCGTTTTGAAGCCCATAAAAGCATAGGGCCTCGGATTTACTTAGCGCTAGTTGTTGAATGCGACTCACCACAGAATCACATCTCAATTCTCTAAACCATAACTGGCATCACATATTGATTGAAGACTATTTTCAACGCTTTATAACCTAACTAAACTAAGTACTGTCCTAAGTAAACGAACTCTTCAACAACAACTGTGCTCGAGCCCAGTGATTCCAACGACATCAGGCATAGACATAACATTAGACATAATCTTCTCGTCTTATCCTTGTTCCGTGGGTGGACCGTTCAACTATTCAGCCATGACCTCTCTCGTGTCTCGCCACTAGTTCGCGTACACACACAATATCGTACATTCATAAACATTGCAATAACAGACCTAACAATTAATGCAAAGATCTATATGGCGATTGTAAGTATCTACGTCGATTTTGATAGAAGGTGATTTGATGTATTCGCCATTGATGTTAACACCACCAGAAGCTTGAAATGCAGCAGTGAGGAATTTCAGAGATATGAGGTGTGGTACTACTCGCACGGACATCATAACCTTGTTGTAAAATCATCTCGGCACCATCAATAAATACCAACAGTAAATTTAGTAATGGCCTGGAATACCGCCGTTACTAAATAGGAAACGATGACTATAACAACTACTAAGTCAGTTGTCACTGCCCAAATCAGCGAAACCTAAGCGGAAGAAGAAGCGGAAGGCCTTTCAGTCATCGGTAATGGATTTGCCACAAGTGCGGTCACTTAAATGCACCGACTCGATAGTGAGAGCGCAAATTGGACAACATCTGCAGAGAAAAACTTGTTGGCATATGTGGCTAATAAACCTAATGCCGAGAAGCAGCCCGAGTCCAAGGCCAAGAAGATGGACGAATTTACACGCGTGATAAATAATTTAAATCTTATCGACAACAGGTCTCTGCGAGGACGTGACATAAAAGCTTGAATGGGTCAATAACCGACACAGCGCCATCGAGCTATTATATGGGGTCCCCAATTTGCGGCTCACGAAATGATATCTGTATTTGTTTGTATGTCAAATCGCGTTTATTGTTAGTTAGCGAGTTGTTGGATTGGTTGTTAGATAGCGAGTATGCATTCGATCGTTACGTAAATGATTTAATATTCAATTATTGTTATTATAAATATATATAGTTTTCAAAAATTAATATTCGTAAGGTGATATTTTCCAGCGCCATGTCTCGCAATATTATTTTGGCCTGCCTTACTACCTCTTCTCTAATTTTATTTGAAGCGGATGACATCATCATGGCGTGCATCAGCTCCTTTGTTCTCTCCTGAGTCTGCTGGTCATCTACCCACGGACCTCTTACAACCTAGCCTTCAAAGCGGCTGAGCTAACAGCATACTAAACTTCACAGAAAAAAATATTTTGCTAATGGCAAAAAGCAAAAACCTATGGCTAACAAATACTGGCGTGGATCTTTCAAATTCAAAGAGAATGTAATTGAATGGGGCTTTAGCCCCAAATTTAGGGCGCACACATACATATTGGGCTTTTTTTAGGGTCCAAAAGAATTTTGAGCCATTTTAGGGTCATGAATAATATTTCATACATCAATATTTTGTCTAAAGAAAATGAGAAAACAAAAGCAAAAGGTCATGAAATTTTAGTTCATATTATGTTGTTTTGTTAGTTATTTCAACTATTTGTAATGAAGAATTTTTAAAACTAAGTTATATTTATTTACCTTAACATAATTTGAAAATCAATACAAGAATTTTTTGGGGCTTTGGAAAATTATATTTTTTTGGGATATTAAGAGCTATTTAATTTTGATATTAGGGACATTTTTTAAATTAGTGGGTAGCACTGCCAAAACGTTACGTTTAGTGAAATTGTTAATGTCAGTCACTTGTCAAATGTCATTGTCAGTTTCTCAGTTTTAAAATTGTTTTATTTCTTTATAACACGTGCAGATTTGGTTACATGTAATTAAGTATATATAATAATTATTGTGAAATATGGGAAAAGCTAAAAAATTCAAACCTTCCCAAATTGGAAAAAATATTGCCTTAGCTGATCAGATAGAATCGGGAAACTCAGTAAAGAACAAAAACAGAGTTAAACCGAAGAACAGACATGATGATGATGAGGAAGTTAGTAACTAGATAAGAATGTGCCAGTCAAGATGTTCAAATATACAATTTATTTCGTTTTTTTTTTTAGTTTGTTAATGCAGATTTATCAAAAAAAATATTAAAGTCTGCTAGACGTCAGCAAGCTGAACTAGGAGATTCTGATGGAAGTACATCTGTCGCGCAACATATTCTTCCTGTGGAATTCAACGGTATCCTTATGATAGTAATAAAACAAAATTGTGTTTCTATTACATTTTATTTTCACTAAACGTTTAGGCAAAATAAGTATATAATTTTTAATAATATATTATAATAATTTTTTTTAGAGTCTGATAATGAAATAAACTCAGATCATGATGACTTAGAGCCAGATACATATTATGACAATATTGAAATTGATGAGGAAGATGAGGAGGCTCTAAAGATGTTCATGTCAAGTAAACCAGAGAAGACTAGAACATTAGCAGATATTATAAAAGATAAAATTACTGACAAGCATACAGAGTTACAAACTCAATTTTCTGATGCAGAAACATTAAAATTGCAAAATATTGATCCAAGGTAAAATTAAACTAAATAAAGGTTGAAAAGAATTTTATTAAAAACCAAATTACTTCAATATATATTTACTTGCAGAATAAAAACTATGTATCAAGGTGTAAGAGATGTTTTACAGAAATACCGGTCAGGAAAGCTACCTAAAGCCTTCAAAATGATCCCACATTTGCAAAACTGGGAACAAATTTTATACATAACTGAACCTACAACTTGGTCGGCAGCTGCTTTGTATCAGGTATTCGACAATACTGTTTTAAAACTTTTCTACAGACTTCAATAAAGGAGGAAGTACTCAAAATCAAATAGAAAATGTATAGTGAGTGAGATATTTGACATTGGTTTTGATATTTGTCAACAGAATTGATCTTTTTTATTATTTGCAATTGGTGTCTTAACTTTAAGTATTAAGTTTTCAAATATGTATAAATATTCCTAGTAAAGCATTTCAAATTAACTTTGCATTTAAACCTTTATTATAATTTGTAGTAATTAAAATATTAAATTACTGTTATTACATGAAGGTCCTCCTTAATTAGCCTTGTTCTTTCACGGCAATGCAGCAGGTGTTATAATATATATCCATGAAATCATTAAGTGTCTTTCACTGTATGTATCTCACCATTGTCAGTTGTACCACACTTCCATCCATGGAAGCCCACAAAATTAAATAGAGATTAAGGTATGTGAGGTGGCAAATTCAAATATCATTATTTAATATAGAAGCATTACACTTACTTTTTGACTGTCAAAACGCTACTACCGGTTTGGAAAAGAAATGCCACTGACCTGAGAACCTGTGAAAAAACTCAGCTGGACATTTTTTTTTACCATTGTTTGTCAAGAAACATGTTTAAAAATGTATTGAAGTCCACTTAAAAGAGCCAGGAGCAATCAATTCATTTCCAGGGTGTGATATCATTTAAAAAAATCACTAATATTATAATAGCCTTTAACACACATTCCATCACAGTTTTAAAAGTAAAAATTTATACATTGTGAATGTTTCCTGGGATTTTGTTGTAAAAATGTTAAAAAAATATATACCATAAAAGAGTTACTTATTCTTAGTTTTTGGAAAAAATTTTTATCATGCTCTTCCGCATGTCTTGAAAATTCATTCTTTTTTATATGGACATACAACATTTTCAAATATGTACTGAGAAGCAACAGTCAATATTTTAATCTCTTTGAACAAATTTCTAAGTGATTCTTTGGGGCCCAATATAGTTATAAACTGCTCAAATATGCTTGGCGATAGAGTTAAATCTTAATAAACTTATATAGTGATAATGATACCCAATTAGCCTGTCACTGTATTAATACAAAAGAGTTGTGCTACTGTTAAAAAAAATTGTGTAAAACATAAGACAGTAATAACACATATTTTTTTTTAATATTTTCAAAATGCCAGACCTGGTTTTAATCAAGATGTGTACAGACAGAATTTTACAATATTTAATTTTAATATTTTAGGCTACACGTATTTTTGCATCTAATCTTAAAGAGAAAATGGCACAGAGATTCTATAATTTGGTCCTGCTTCCTCGTGTGAGAGATGATTTAGCAGAATATAAAAGGCTAAATTTCCATCTGTATCAAGCATTACGAAAAGCGCTCTTTAAACCTGGAGCATTCATGAAAGGAATTTTGCTGCCCTTATTAGAAGTAAGTTAAATTTTTTTATTAAAATTATATGTGTATTTACAAAAGTCGTATTGTTTGACTAACTTCCCCAGTGTAATTTTATTTATTTCAGAACTTTTAATGAACTTTTACTCATTTCAGTCTGGGGATTGTACATTGCGTGAAGCTATTATTGTCGGCTCCGTATTAGCGCGTAATTCAGTGCCAGTACTGCACTCAAGCGCCGCTCTTCTTAAAATTGCTGAAATGGATTATACTGGTGCTAACTCCATTTTTTTACGGATATTATTTGACAAGAAATATGCATTGCCATATAGGGTAGTAGATTCTGTTGTTTTTCATTTTTTAAGGTGAGTTTTCAATAATTTTTTTAAATTTATATTAAATTATTTCATAAATAGCTACCTACTTAATTGTAGATCAGAGTAATCAGTTATGATAGTTTGGTTTTTACTGTTATACAATAAATATAAATTAGAAATTGCAACTTACTATTACAGGTTTCAATCTGAATCAAGAATATTGCCAGTTTTATGGCATCAAGCATTTTTAACATTTGTACAACGTTATAAAGCTGATATTTCCACTGAACAGAGAGATGCATTATTGGAATTATTACGTAAACAATCACACCCTACCATTACACCAGAAGTAAGTATATATTTTATAAATATTTAAAGTTTGGAAGGAAAGCATTTACTATAATTTATTTTTCTCACAGATTCGCAGGGAATTACAAGCAGCAAAGTGCAGGGATGTTGAAGTAAATAGTGCTGTTGAAAATTGCATGGTAGTAGAATAAACATATTTAATATAAATATTGTTTTTCTTTGAATACTCTATTCTTAGTTGAAGACATTTTAGTGTGTAGTAAAATAAGACAACAAACATCTACATTGTATAAATTTGTATTGCTCATTTACATTGACTCAATTAAGTAATTGCTGGTGTCTTTTGCTTTTATTACTACAAAATTTTAAGGAATAAATTAACTTCATTAGGTCTGGAGCCAATTCCCATGATTTAACAGAATATTAAATTGAAAATATAAACCCTAGAGAAGTTATAATTATGATAACTATATTTTAGTTATTTTTAAATTTTGTTTGGTAAAGTCTAGAATAACAACATATTTGTATATGAAAAACATGCATGCTGCTAATGACAAGGTGAAGCCACCTAATTTTCTAAGTACTGCTAACAAGTTCTAATTATTTTTATTAGGTTTATATGTTTATAGTTTCAGTTATGTTTCTTTCTCATTAAAGATATGTCTTGTTAATTTGATATTGTTATGTCACATAAAAAGGATGTGTTCCTATTCTAGACTAAAAAACATACAATAAACAATAACAATTTAACATTAACATTCGTAAGATCTTAAATTATACCCACTTATTTTTTAGTAATTTCAATGTACTATAAGATACTTAAATGGTTATAATTATGCACTATGTATTTGCTAGTTCATTTAAAAGTAAACGAATACTATTTATTTAATAACTTCATAATCTGGACTGGTATGTCAACTTGACTACTTATAAAATGAACTGAAGGTAAAACTGACAGTCCACACTCACATTTTCTACCAGTTATGAAATCAAATGACCCAACTTTACATCGACAATTTTCACAATGTAATTTTCCCTTTGTCCATTGCTGTTCTTCTATTCTTTTCCTTATCCACGGAGGTACTTTCTCGTCGTAAAAATAAATAAACCTTTTGAAGTCGTAATTATCGCATGCGTAAGTGTCACACGTTTTTAGGTTAAGAATATTATCGACATCTTTTATTAGAACGTATCTGCATTTGTGACACTTAATTAGAACAGATTCAGATTTCTCATTTTCTTCCATGACGGTTCAGAGTTAAAACTATTAAACTGTTTTGATATAGGCACACGACCAGCCAAAGAGTACCAAACCTAGACCTACATCATAGATAAGACATGCTGAAATTATACATTTATTACAATATATCTACATTTATATATCTGCAGCCAGCCAGCGAGCATTCAGTCAGATTAGTCATAGATAGGATAGGCATGGGCAAAAAATATCGATATTTTTCCAAATAAATATCGATATATATCGTCGTTATGTTTATGATCGATATTCGATATTTATTTTCTACTATCGAAATCGTGTCAATTTCGATATATTTTTTAACGCAACTCTGGTTTGGTGTTTATTGTTACAAAGATTTTATGGCCTGGTGACCTTTAAGCCAATACCACGCAAATACTAATTACTAATACTACAAACCATCCGTGGCAGACGTATATGACCCTGAAAAAAAATTAACAATTTTCTGTTTTTTTTTTTTTTCAATCTAAAAAGTTACAAAAAAGAGTAAAAACATGTAGAAAGTACAATTTTTTCTAAATTTTCCTTTATAATTTATCACTGGAAAAAGTATCTAATATAATTACACGTCGGATAAGAATACAGAATGAATAACTACATTTTTAATTACCTATCTAAGTAATTAATAATTAAAAATATTAACGGACGTGACTCACATTATTTTCAATTTATTAAAACTACAAGTCCATTTTTACTAACGAAAAACGAAACCGACTTCAATATCTCGTTCTGTATTTATATTACAAATGATTTTAAGGAGTTCCCTAAGTATCTCCAGAGCCCAACATCCAATACCAATAAATTAATATGGGACCACATGGAAAGCACCAGCTATATATCAAATAAAAAAAGGCTAGCTGAAGACGGGGATAACTTTATAACTATATATAGCTAACACAAAATAATTTATACATTTAGTAAACGTTGTTAAATTTTTGATTGCACTTACAGTTTAAAAATAATACGAACAGTATCTCTATTAAAATTTCTGATCGGATTTAACAATCTAGTTAATAGTGACAACAAAATGAATCAAGTTACAGATCTGACACTTACACATCTTACATTACGTTAAATTTTCTAGATATGTTTTCTTTATGTTTATAATGCTTTTTTTAAAAAAAATCTTTCTTTTTGCTAAAATCTGCCGCCCTAGGCTGTAGCCTGCTCAGCGTACTGATAAATCCGCCACTGCTAGTATGATAAAAAATTAAGTCGGTATTTATATGGGCATCGGTATGATATTCCTCCAGTGAAACAAGCAATATATCTCGTGAACGTTCTTTGGATATTTTCAATACTTTGAGAATGTACCGCGTACCTTCGATATTATAAACTATGATTTTAGTTTTGGTTGGAAACCCTTTAGTGTTTCTTTTGAGAAATCCTAGATTCTGAGCAGATATTTTAACAATATGTAACAATATGTAACTGAGTCTCGAGTCTTGAATAGTTGTTTGTTTAAAAACGTTACACTTACTTTAGGATAACATTCTCCGATGTTGTAAGAAAGTTTTACAAAAATAAACTTCCCGTAGACAAACATCCAGATGCAAAACAGTTATCTGTGGGTCACACAAACAGTGGGAATCGAACCCACGATCCCTGACGCCGAAGCCAATACCTTGGAATCACTAATAACTCCCAGGTCTTTTTTTTAAAGCAACGTATTCTCTATATGGTAATCTGATGGATAGTTTTTTTTTCTCGTGTAAATTTTACTTGAAAGCATTTTTGGGGATTTAATAACATATGTTTCGATTGACGAGACTATTTACGTCAAACTGTATAATAACCGTAAGGAATATCATTCTTATCTCTTGATTCTACGAGCCTTAATAGTTTAAGATTGTTGGCAAAACGTGACATTTTGTTAGGTTTGATTTTAGATGTCCCTAAATGTGACCTAAAGGTGACCCTTGTGGAATGCCTGATTCCAAGTAATATGTGCTAGATTCATAACCACCTACTGCAAACTAACTGTGACCTTCTTGCAATATAGGATTTAAACCACGTAAGTAACGAACGGCTGTCTTCATCGTCAGCCGGAAGACGTCCACTGTTGAACAAGGTTGAAACCCTTAAACATCACAACGAACGACATTTTGACATTTAGTTACCAGCGACGTTTACGTACGTCGTCTGCGAGGTTAGGGAGTAATGCGGGAGGTTCGTACCTGTACTGCGAGGGGCAAGGGCAGTAAGTAGCGCCTCTGTCTCATGCAATCTGCTGCAGGGGTAAGGGGAAGGGGCGCCGTGCAATCTCGTACGATTGCTAAGCTAGTCCATGCCTATGCGACTTTTATTTTAAATATTGGCGTTGTACAGAGGGACGGTTAATGATATTTATTATATTTTTATTTATGTATATATAGATATTTATTATTTTGTATGCATTTAATATTTATTATCATAATGAATGTATGCATATTACGACACGATTGGCGTAGTGGGTAATGAACCTGCTTCTTGCGCTAAAGGGTGTGGGTTCGATCCCCACTACTGGAAAAATATTGTGTGATTAACACAGTGTTTTTCCAGCGCCTGGGTGTATATATGTTTATAATATGTTTATTTACAAAAAAAATATGTTTACGTATATTATCAGTTATCTTAATTTTGTTTTAAAAACATGAAATTCTTTTTACAAATCAGTCTTTTGCTTAGCTTTGTATTTTCATTACACTTGAATATTTTTCATCATAATGGATACTTTAAAATATCGTGTAGGTAATTATGGAATATGACTTCCGTCGTAGCACCAGCGTGGCACAAACGGGAAGTAACATCAACAACGTTTACAGAGTAAACTTTACAAACGTACGCACGACCCATTATTGGTTTGACTGCCTTGAAAAATGAACCTTGTCCAGACACTTTAGTTAATAATGATGAAATAAAGGCAATTGTGGAAGCTGATGTACCTGAATCTACAGCTGAGCTAGCAGCAGATTTTGATGTTAGCATCAAAATAATGTTGGTCCATTAGACAAGGTTAAAAAGTGGACTACCGCCGGTGTAGTTCACTATAAATTTCTAAAATCTGGCCAAACGATTACGGTAGATATCTATTGTCAGCAACTGTAAACCATTAAGGAAGAACTAGCTACTAAACAACCGAGATTGATGATTCGTTCTAGGCCATTGCTGCTTCACGACAACGCAAGACCACACACTGCACAACAAACAACCACTAAGTCAGATGAGCTACAATAGGAATGTCTGCGACATCCACCGTACTCACCGGACCTTGCTCCAAAGGATTACCATTTTTTCCGAAATTTTGACAACTTCTTACAAGGAAAAATAATTCAACTCCGATGCGGCAGTACAAACCGCCTTCAAAGCAAACTACCATCCTCTATTTCTGATTGCTTAAATTTCATACCATTCGACATGTGTTAGAAAGTTATGATGAACGAAACGGTGATTTAGTACTATCATTGTTTGAAACGCATAATATTGTAATATTTTTACCTGAATTTCAATGAAAGTGGAGTTTGATTACCATCCATTCAAGAGAACCTAAATAAATACGATATTTTTTTCCTTAATACGTCCACACTTATTGTTACTTCTGAACTGAATGTACAGCTGCGTTTGAATAATGAGATATATTTTAACCATTCACAGACGATCGAAATGAGCAGTAACAAATAAGGTTCATTTGCACATAACTTTATTTATAAAAGTCACTGAAAACGTCTTTAAAGAAAATATATAATCTTAATTGAAAGATTCAAGGTGGTTGATGGCATCCTGTAGATTTGTGTTTAAGAAATCGATCCCGCTTTGCACGGCAGATCTTATGTTTACTTCTACTACCTTCATGATGACAGTATCAAAGATTCTCAAAAATATGTTTATTACAGGGTTGATTAACCAATCAACAAGTATATTACCGGTAAGCCGCACACGGAGTCGCCTGAAAGGAAGTTAAAAGGTGTGAAATACACTGTTGGTTGAAAAATAAAAAAAGATGCTAAATTATTAATCAATAAGCCAACTTTACATTAAAGTATAACTATAAACTTTTTGAAGTTATACATCTTTTCGAGAGCCGTGATAGCTGCGAGCCGTGGTAGCTCAGTGTCTCAGTGTCTTTATTTTAATATACTCGCGCAATCTCAGTTTGATCCCCGGTGCCGGCACCAATGATATTTTAAGTGCTGACTCAGCGGTGAATGAAAACATCGTGAAGAAACTTGCATATTTTCTAAATAATAAGAAAAAAATTCTAAGATATGTGAAGTCTAGCAACCCGCAGGGGGGCTGCAAGGTGAACTATGCCCTGATAACCTCTGTATGGAGGAGGTCTTTGTCCAGCAGTGGGTCATGTATAGTCTGTTACTTTACTATAATATTTATATCGTTTCGCGCGTTTGGAAAACAATATGAGTGTAAAAATTTTACGATGCGCGCGCACACCGACACCGTCATTAAAGTTGGTTGTTAAGCGACCAAATTCCCGTTATTTAACAAGGCAACCAATAACAACTTTTTGACATTTACCTATAATTCAAAGTTATTTATTTAAACTGTTTTCATTTGCTTTTGATGTCTTTTTCACAAACAAATAATACTGGCACATGGCATAAAATTTTTAGTAATTTTTTCCTACTTATCCTAAAGAAGTACCTATAACTTTTACGTGCGTACAAGTGCACATATATTTTATATGAAAATACTAGCGGACCCGAAAGGTGTTGTTCTTTACACGACTTAAATTCGACAACTTATAAATAAATAAAAAAAATTAAAAATTTTTGAATTTAGACCATTCTCGAATTGACCTGAACACACAAATTCATTAAAATCAGCAAATAGCAGGAATTCAGCGAAATACATACGCACAGAAGAATTATATATATATATATATATGTACGCACGTAAAAGTTGGTCAAATAACAAAAAGTTTTTGTTTAAAAAACTAATTAAAACGTGATATTTTTTCAGAATTTACACAATTGAATTTAAACAATAAAACTATTTACGAGGTAACTAATGTGTGGAATTGCTGTTTAATTATTAACAAAGACAATGTACGTTTTATATTAGCTATGAGCCATTGTATACGTAACGTAGTTCTTATACTATTTGGAGTTGTACGTTGATTGCTCCACTTCGAGCTTGACTTTGAAAAAGCATTGTTAACACTTAATGTTTCTTTTCATATTGACCTTCATATTTTGTGATGAATTTTCATTTACCAATAGCTCTACAATGTGATTCATGATAGTTAGTGATGTGTGGGCCGGACCCACCATACTCACCCGATGTCAGTCAAAGAAAATTGTTGCAGTTGCACTTCGTCGTTATTGAAATCGATAAGAATATCTATGACGACAAAACGGCTCAGGGACCCAACAATACCTCCGGTCGGACCCAAGTTCATAACTTTTACCAGATATTTGTAGTTAATCTAAAAAAAATACAACATTTACATACGTCTCTTTGTAATTAATAATTTCATTTATACTTCAAAACAACGATTCCAAGTATTTTTTTTATGTGGGAAGCAAGGTGGATGTTAAGTGATAATCAGCGCCCATTGACATTTGCAACACCTGTAGGGTTACAGATGAGTTGTCAACTTTTAATGAAGTGGACCACACCGTGACTCCGTCACTCACCAAACAAAATGCAGAAGTGTCATCCACTTCACGCCGATCTTCAGTTATGTCGTGGTACTTACCCGGACGTACATGCTTATTCACGCAAAAGTGCGTGGCTCTATTACCTGCGTATCATGCCTATGATACTGTATTTAATATACGCAAGTAATATCAGAACATGAAATTAGAAAGTTTTAGATAATATTTCAAAAGCCCATTAAAATTTGCAGTAAGAATAGCTTTAATTTTAAACGATTTTTTTTTACTGATTAATAAAACAACAATTGGTAAAACACACAATTGGCAGATAATTCATAATCACCTCAAGATCTTTGAATTGTAGTTCAACTCTGACGCGTAACATTTTAGCAAAATAGTTAACCTTTTGATCACCGGAACGTGATAGATTCACCAAACCTTTCATGGTACCATCGTAAATCTTCAGCCACGCGCTGTACGTTATAAGCAACGGTTTCTGCAAAATAAAAAATAGGATAAACTTACAGAAACTAAGTATTTCGAATGTTAAAACCACAACACTGGGAATGTCTTTCCACATGAATTTTGCTCCGTTGGTAATCGTTATCGCATTCATGCGTAGTAGCAGCAGATGTTAATTAAATCTCAGTTTTAATCTAATCTAATCTGATTTAATTTATAATAATTCTTTGCATATAAATGAAAAATAAAAAAAACAAGTGCTACCATGTAAATCAAAACAAAATGTGAATAATGAGATTAAGCATCTTGTGTGTACATACGAGTAGGGCCTTTGAGCCGGCGAAGTAGTATATCGTAAGTATTTATAATTGAATATATGCATAGAAACTGTGCTGTAGATAATGGATTTTCCTTTACGGATTGATGTATACCAAATTTTCGCCTGTATTGAGTCAATAACTTGTACTTAGGTCGCACAGAAACTAGAACTTAGAACTGGCCATTTAGAAACATTGCCATTAAAAACTTTTTTAAACTTTGAATATAAAACTCTTTGGTAACCTAATGTGATATATTGCATTCATTTGTTATTTGTTTTTGTGAATTGGTAGCATTTCGAAAACTCTTGTTAAACCTCAATATTAATATAACGATGAGGCCATACTCAACAACAAAGGTATGATAGACTTCGATTGTCATTTAATAATGAAGCCCCATCCCGTGCCACTTTTTATAATTGGTTTAATGAGTTTAAGCGTGGTCGTAGCCATCCCAGTGATGATCTACGTCGAACGTACTACGTCCTTCAACAGCCACATCTGAAGATAACATCAGTACTGTAGACACTATAGAGAAAGATAAGTGACAGACAGTGACCTACAAAAAATATTACACGGCTATTTAGGCCCCAAGGAGATTTGTATCAGATGCATTCCTCATACTACATTGACCGAAGACCAGAAACGCCTTTGAATGGATTGGCGTTGCGAAATGTTAAAAAAGTTTAATGGATGTAACTCTAATGCTGTATTGCTATTTGACATGGTAGGTGATGAAAGCTGGATATATTGCTACGAACCCGAAAGCAAAAGACATAGACAGGGTATAATATTAAGTACTAACGACTTCAAATCCTTCAATGACTTCAGGCAAATTCATTGGATCTAAACCATTGCTTTGAATGAATGGTACAAGCATGTCGACCGTGTTATCGACGTAGTCGTTTACGTCCGCAGTAAGTCCGTGTCCCCATTTTGACCTGAAATTAAAGATAAATATTATATATGAACTATAAATAACAATCAGTTTGATATTATGTTGTACAGTGCCATGAAATTTATAAACAAATTATACTTACAAAACCATGTTTGTAATAATTTTTTTTTTATTAAAATGTAGTTGATAAAGCGATAAATAAATGTTCACATGAATAAATCGTATGAGGCGGATTGTATTCTTTTAAATGAATTATATTCGAAAAGAAAGCGTAGCAACTAAATCAAGAACCTCTTTTACCATAATTATTTGTAATTTAAAATTACATATGTTAAGCATCATAGATTAAATAACACACGGAAATACTAAGGTAAAAAGAGGCTTCTGAAATAAACGAATGTGAAGTTGTTGAAGTTGTAGTCTTAAATAATTTAAACTAAAAAGCTTCAACATTACTTACCCAAAAAGCTTTGTTGTATAAAAAACATTAGCATCTGCAACCACAAAGGAAAATACTAGAATAGTCGCAACAAATATTTCGTTCTTCATCGTTGTGAGGCAAGGTGAAACTATCATATTTCTGTTTTTATTAGGCTATATATGAAATCTTGATTTATTAATTACATTGATACATGAAATTTATCAGATATTTACAAAAAAGCGTTTGATTGTATTAAAAATGATATAGATCATAATTACTATGATAACAGTAGAAATCAATTTTCTGACGCCGCTAATTTTGTGGCGTGATAACGAAACAGTAAATGGTAATAAAGTTTGTTAAAACACGCAATACGGGTTCTACTTAAGTTTTGATTATTTTTAAAAGGGAGTGAGTTTAAGCAGTGCACTTCATTATCACTTATAAGTAAAACTCTTACTAAATTTAATCTCGTTTCAATTTCGCATATAACCGTAGTAAAGCGTTTATCGTGACTCCAAGTGCAGAACAGGTCCCATTCTTCTAAGATTTTAATGATTCATATGAGACTAAATTTTTATATATTTAATTCATACAAAATAATATAGATAAAGTACGTCAAGACTTCCGACGGTGTGAAGATAGAATTTAATAGACAAAAGGTTCCCAAAGTCGACTCTGCCATAGAGAGCCTGTTATTGGTTTAAGTCGTTTATGAAGAGACATCCATCTCTGTCCATTAGAAGACCTGAATCCACTAGTTTGTTCGAGCCACCAGTTTTAATCCACAAAATGTCAACAGTTTTTTTTTTTTTAAACTTGAAATATGGAACATGGGCGAAATCGGTTTGATATGGTGCAAAAACTCCTCTGCACAAGCCACAGCGAGCTGATAGGAGATGTAAATGAGCAATTCTAACAGATTCACCTGAGAATACCTATTTAGAAGACAAAGAAAAAGATAGTATCTATGTTTTTTCAGCAACAATAAAAAAAACTTACATAAAGAAAGAGGATTAAATTGAAAGTAGTTAACAATGACGAAGATGAAAAAGAGTGTGTTTATCTCCATATTCTGCTAGCAAGAAGGGAGTCTGGATACAGTGCCAGGATTACAAGTTTTGGGGTCATGAGGCATGCACACCTGGAAAACCTTATTTCATTTCCCAAAATTGTGAATCTGAATATTCAGATTGATTACTTGGATTGACTTCATATTATATCGTCCGCACTTTTATTTAAAAGTATCACGTCCAAATAAATCAGTGCCTTATGATTACATTTTTGTTGTTTTCGTAACAAGTATTCTAATTTTGTTTGATGGAAATTATGTATAAGTGAATTTGTTAACTATTCTTGTTACAATGAATATTTAACATTCTTTTCTTGGATACTGGTTCAAGATTCTATTTCTAATAAAAATACCTACTCATTTGATTTGAAATAAGTGTTTTTTTTTTATATTTTCTTCCCTTGATTTACTGTGTGATTACCTACCCCTGGCATTGTGATAATCATCCCGGACATGGGGTTAGAAGTCACACTTATCCTTTTTCTCACAAATGTAATACCTCCTCAATGGATAATGTTAATGTCAAAAAGTATGAATTTATTTTGAAACTAGATTAGATATACTATCCATTGAGATAATAAATTTCATTGATTTGCCAAGAATATAGGCACTTAAAAATTCAAAATCCAAAAATGTGACTTCCAACCCCGGTCTCCCCTATAGGGGAATTGTCACCTATGAGACATCAGAGAGACTGTAACCGCGTCGTTGACGGCGAGCGGTGTAAAACATCTTGGAACCCTGGTGTAGCTTATGTTGTCATTATGTTGATTTCGCCTTATTTCCCTAGCGAAGTTCGTTAGAGTATGGAGTCGGCCCGACGTGACTCTTTTTTGTACGTTTTCAATGTGTTTTGGTGCAAGAAGAGTAATTCTACAGTGAATAAGGTGGTATTATCCTAATATCAATTCTTGTATAATTACAAATGTGTAGATAAAACTGTCGCAAACATTTACGTCGCTGCCAGGATTCGAACCTGCGCCTTCCGGATTACGCGTGCAGATGCCCTAACCACTAGGTAATGTGCGAGTCGAGTTATTTGATTCGAGTAACTCGAATTACTATTATATATTATAATTAGCTATCTATCAGCCTTGAGCCGAACTGACTCGTGCTCTCAGAGTCGGCTGAGTCCCCTCTACAACGCAACTCGAGTTGCGACTATAGTCGTTAGCCATATTAACTAGAGCAGGGGTGAGCAACCTTTTTAATCAATGGGCCAATTTAAATTTCAAATTTTTTGGCGGGCCGCACATAATAATTTACGAAACTTTATTTATAATAAATATTAGAATTAAAAAATATAAAATTTAAATAAAGTAAAGATTTCATATACAAATTTTAATGCAAGGTAAAAACAAACAAGAAAAGAATAGAAAAACGAACAAAAAATATTTCGGTTCAGTATGTACAACCAATTTATTATAATTAATTTTATAACAATATATTGATTGGAGAAATTCGATAAAATAAATTCAATTTTAGAAATGCTGGGCGGGCCGCATAAACATGTTTAAGGGATTCTTCCACATAATGTTCTTAGCATTTGAAGCAATGCTTGGCGCCATCTATTGTTATATCCTTTCCAGCATACAAACAACTTCGAATATCGTTTTACAACGATAATTTTTCTACATATTTTAATGTTCAATCTTAAGTGCAAAGATTAGCACTATAAACAATTTAAATTTCTAAAATAGCAATAGCGACTTCTCTCGTTCGAATTATCGTTGTAAAACGATATTCGAAGTTGTTTGTATGCTGGAAAGGATATAACAATAGATGGCGCCAAGCATTGCTTCAAATGCTAAGAACACTATGTGGAAGAATGCGTTAAGATTTTCGTCGGTGTGGTAATCAGCCGTTTAGCTCAGTGGCTAGAGCGTCAGGCCGCGAATGCCGAAGACGTGGGTTCGATTCCCACAGCGGCGACAATCTTTTCGCACTTTTTCTACATATTTTATGGTTTAAGGGGCCGCAAGCGGCCCGCGGACCGCGCGTTGCTCACCCTTGAACTAGAGTATCTCGAGTCAAAGAAAATCCAACTTGTCACATCACTGCTAACCACTAAACTCAAGCTTTTTTTTTTTTGGGCTGGATGAGCCACTGTTGGCCTTAGGGGCCTTTACAGATCCGACGGACTTGAGGTGGCCTGGCGCACGAGGCGCCTAGCCTGAACCTCGAAACTCAGGCGAGGCACCCAAAAGTTGGCCGAGTATAAACTCGCTTATTATCGACTAGCTTTGCCAGCGACTTCGTCCGCGTGGAATTTAAAATAAATAAAATTTCTGAAATAAAAGTAGCCTAATTTACTCTTTATTACATCAGCTATTTGCCACTAAAAGTCCTGTCAAAATTGGTTCAGCCGTTTCAGAGATTAGCCGGAACAAACAGACAGACAGACTAAAATTGTAAAAAGTGTTATTTTGGTATATGTACCGTGTATACATCCATATGTATTTAGCGAAAAGCAGTTATTTTAATCTTACAAACGGTCCAATTTTATTTATCTGTATGTACGTAGTATGTATAGATGTATAGATATAGTGCATATAAAGATGTTTACAATTGAGAAGCGTCGGAACAAAAACCGATAAATCACATTTTAACAGTTTTTATGTTAAGTATGGCAATCAACAGTTTACGTACATATCTATAGCCATGTTGTACCAAATCTTTTTATAAATTACTAAACCGTATACACACTAATCTGAACATAAATCGATAAATCAATCGGATAATTTCATGATTGGAACATACACCGACAAATCAGAAATTTTCGTGGACCATGCATTTGGTTGGTTGAAAATCAACAAATCCGAATTTTATTACTGGGTCAATATTGGAGTTTAAAGAATGTCAAAAATCCTAGAACCTTTTTATAAAAAACTAGGAATGCGAGATTATTGCTAGACGAAAACATACAAAAACATATCCAACAGTCTGATCAAAAACCGATAAATCCATTTTTTTTTTATTTCTCATCACATACTGCACTCATAAATCTGAGATATGGAAATCAAAAGTGTTACCAACACCTATGTACAGGTATACTTTTTTCATCTCTAAATTGGAAATGCATGGAAATATGTATTATTTTTTTAATTTCCCGAAAAAATGTAATAGGTCATATATGGGTTTTTGTTCCGACGCTCCTCAATTGTTATATGATAACTTACCAAGATTTTATACAGTTTATTATAGTTCTACGTGGGCAAATTTTTGTCTGTTCGATCACGATTTCAAAAGTAAATGGGTTTGTATGCACATCACAGTATCATTTTGATGATTACAACTTCAACGGCAAAGTATTAAGTACCTTTAAAATTAAACAATTTTTTTGGGGTGCTTTACTCAACTACAAATTCAAGCTTACGTTTCTTTTTCGCGGAAACCTTGATAACTTGATCGATATCCAGTCTCACATCTGTGTGCATATTTAGGAGAGCTAAGCTATTATGGATAAGCATTCATGTGACACTGATGCACGCAATCAGTTTTACTCTTTGAATAGAAGAAAAATATCTCTCTGTGGTAGCCATGCTAACCGGGAGCTGCTCGCATCCTCCAATGAGATGAGCTACCGACTCTGGTATGCCAGAATTGTTTTCAGATTTATACCAGTTCCCAACAATAACATTTGGTTTAGGTGGAAAAACTCCCAATTGAAATAGGTTGCCTCCGGAAATAATCTCGGTACCAAATTATTAATAACAAATCTAAAAGAGGTTTGAAAATTGCCGACTACAGGCTCAGCTTTTCGGCGCTTTGATCGTTATACTTCCAGAAAATCATGTATTATATTCAATAATCTAATATCTTCCAAGATATAATATCATTAGGCTATCAAGAGACCGTGAGCATGTCATCACAAGTTTATTAGGGTTGTGAGTATGCCTATCGTGCCCACAACAGTGGATCTACACTTGACAAAATGAATTGCTGTAGTAATTATAATGTTAAATGGATAAAATAACAAAATACATTCATCAAATGATATATTATTTATCAATAATAAATCATTTTGTATCGAACTCCAATTCAAAAATTGAGTTTCTTGTTCTTTTTATATACTATAATAATATCTAATTCATTTTTATTTTCTTTAAAAAATCACTAGATTATTTTACCCCTTATATTCATTGGAGAGAAGTTATTCAATGTTTACCATAACAAAATTCTAATCTGTTATTATCATCATAACGCATTTTGAATAAGTCATGCATTATGACTTTTCTTAATCAGAAGCACGGAGCTATTAGCAACTTTATTTCCATAATATTTTTTTTTAAATATTTTTTTTTATGTAAAAAGTTGCCAAACGAGCAGACGGTTCACCTGATGTTAAGTGAATACCGCCGCCCATGGACATCTGCTATACCCGAGGGTTTGCAGATGCGTTGACAACCTTTTTGGAAATTGGGCTCCGGCTACCTCACTCACCAAACGAAACGCGAAAGTATTTGTCATACTTCCACTTTACGCTGGTCTTCTGTGAGGTCGTGGTACTTACCCGGACGAGCCTGCCCATTCGTGCAACAGCCGAGGCTGCTGCGTGGCTCTAAGTAATAAAAACGTGGTAAAAATTTAACTCATGTCTGTTTTACTACTGCATGCAATGACTGTTTCAATTCCTGTTTGCAAATGCAAATTTATTCGTTTCAATGTCCACAATGTTTAATGCAGAATATATTAAAGTTTCCGTTTCCTATATATAATTAAAATACACTGAACTAAGCATTAGGTATATTCTTTTATTAAATCCATATCCCAAACTATTCAACCATTGTATAAAATAAATAAACAACACAACCCACTTACGAAACTAAACTAAATAAAGAATAAATTAAATAGTATAAAATTGCTTAATCAAGTAAAAAAATATGAGAAAAATTTGAGACATAAACAGAGAAAACTAACGTTAAGAAAAAGTTTTTGCTTAATTTTAGCATTTTATCTGCAGTCATGAAAAACATTACGTACACATCATATTTACATATTTATTAAAAAAATATGACATTGAAAACATGATCTTTTTACTTTTCTTTTCTAGATTCATTACTAAGCATTTTGTTTCTCTGCTTTTGCATGTGTCCAAAGAGGACTGGAAATAATGGAATATACAAAAGCATATAAAATATCATAAAATAGTAATAGTTAAATATGAAATTCCAAGTGTTTGGCATAGATATTGTATAAAGTTTCTTTTCTGCAATTTCGTCTAGGGAATGGTACATGCAAAGCAGTTCGCCCGTTATACCAAGTGGGTATAGCACCAGGAATGTTGAATATCTGCAATTAAAGGTCACATTATTTTTATGAGTGATTAATGAACAAAATCATTAAATAATATGTTTTAAATTGTAAATTTTTGTAGATAAATGAACATAAACTATTTGCGCTATGGGATTCGAATGGGCGTGCCGTTGACGCGACCGATGATCTTGACATCTATCTAGGTTATTTCTATCGGATTTTTAGCAATGCTTGGCACAATCTAGTGTGTCCTTTACCCCAGCTTATAAAAAAATTCAACGATGAACATTCGTAACGATGGATGTCGTCGTTGCTCTTAAAATTTTAGGATTTAAAATTTGTAGAAAAAGTATGAAAAGATTGTCGCCATTGCTTTTTAGCGGCTCTCTCTGATCTCTCGTTCGAATTATCGTTGTAAAACGATATTCGAAATTGTTTGTATGCTGGAAAGGATATAACAATGGATGCAAAGCATTGCTTCAAATGCTAATAAACAATGTAGATAAAGGACGTTAAGATTTTCGTCAGTGTGGCAATTAGCCGTTTAGCTCAGTGGCTAGAGCGTAAGGCCGCGAATGCCGAAAACGTGGGTGTCACGGCGGCGACAATCTTTTCATACTTTTTCAAAAAATTTTAATGTTCAATCTTAAGTGCAGAGATTAGGACAATAAAAAATTTAAATTTTGGGATTATTATTTTTTTAGAAACCCGCAGCGCCGAAGGATTTTGTTCATTTTTGTACAAAAAATCACAATAAAGTTTCATCTTGAGTGAGACTAGCACTAAAGATAAAAATTAGTCCTAAAATAATGTATTTGTAAATTGTATGTACCTGGAAAATAATAGAGGTTGCGGTACCGTCTTAACTAAATTAACCGCATAATAAGCGTATCGCACTATTTCAGTAATAGACCAAGCGAGTATGCAGAGTGGCAGCCCCGGACTAACAGTACCACCAGGCGTTGCTAATAAAACACCGCAGACCAAGAAAACGCGGGAGTACACTTGCATAAGAACTACAAATACTCCTGATGGAACGAGTCTTAGCGCTGCATGTAAGACCTGAAAAAAAAATAAAGATTTAACTCCTAATTCCAAATGCTAATGTTTAATGCTTTTTAATTTTTATTAAGTCAGTATATTTCAGCCCATCAATTGGTCCAAAATTATTCCCTACAAATGTATTTAAGTTAGGTCAGAACGTCAGTCTAATGCGGTGTTGGCTCGATCCTTCGAGACTGCCATCGCCACAAGGTCATACACGGGCCTTTGAGCCCCCGAACTATGGACAACCTACCCAAGGGGATCGGTACGCTCGATGACGCAGTTCGACCGGTAACATCCGAGGTAACTAATATAGATCAAACAACTAAGGCTAAGATTCATCAGGACCCTTTAAAAGTAATAAAAAGTTAAAAGTTTTAAAGCTTAAAAAAAGGCCATGGTTATCGCCATTCGTAAACGGAATACTCAACCACTCCACAATCTACCCAGCAGCCTCCTTAATTGTTTGGGGAAGCTATAGGAGCCCATTATTTTAAAAAGGTTGAAGGAGCATGCTTTCTCTAATGGCCTTATTCTGCTCGTACATTTAGGCTTTCGTCTATAGAACAACACTTGAAAGGCCTCAAGCACCTCAAACATATATCATAGTTACGAATGCGTTTTTTCTTTAATTTCGCCAACGCGTTCGACTAGGTCTGACATAACGTCTTGCTTTACAAAATTTACGTGGCAAACGGACTCGTGGACACCATCCGAGCCTTCTTATCGAATTGCTGTTATTGATACTGAGTAGAGTGCCACAAACCCCGAAAGGCCGTATCAATACACTTCACTAGCAAACTCCAACCTCCCAATGACCCGAGCTTCCCAAAACAGAAACCTAGACCAAACAGTATGGCAAACCAATCTCTTGGAAAAAAGGCAAACAGCGGAACATCGTCCTGTATAGCGATTCCAGTAGAATTTATCTATATGATATATAGACATAAAGATATAACTTATCGACCCAGTCAAAGAGGACATAGGTACGTCAGATTCACCGGAAGTCCTGCTAGACCCACATATACTACTAACACACGTAACTAATTAGTTAGGTATATGTATTAACATTATAACTATGTGGGTGGTCCTTGCCTAACCAAACCAAAACACAGAGGACCAAAAGTACTCCCGCGTTCCAGGGCACTTCTCGCCACCGCCATCGAACGTTTTATGCAGCCAACGTCGAAAAAGGGCACAGCCTGTACCGATTCTCGATGGCCTGTAGGTAATCCTCATCCAAATAAAAAACACATGCATGAGCTCATTTGCAGCTGTATCACTCACAAGTTCTACATTTGATGAAGTATCAATAGTATAAATACTTATAAGTATTACGGAGCTAACGTCAAATACCTATCGCTAGTAACAATATTCTGTCTGTTTAATATTCTATCTGTAGATAGAATATTGAAACCGACTGTTAGTGACCGTTGTTTGAAAAGATATAAGATTACTTTAGTCTTGCTTTGTATTCAAATTAAGACCTTTGTACTTTATATATTGAATATTTAAATAATTATCTTTGGTTCCAATTTAAGTACAACAATTTAATGATGATTTACCTTACGTCGAGTGATGTTTCTTTCAGTCGATAGTCTATTAAAACTAGATTAAAAATAGAACTTTAGAATTTGGTCACTGCAAATAGACTTTTGATATTTATGTCAAGTCTATCTGCAGTGACCAAATCTATCTCTATATTGAATATTGAAACCAGCCGGTAGTAAGTAGTGCCTTGCTGTAATGAATGTTTTGTAAAATTAACTATATAAACTAACTAGCTGTTAACCGCGCGGTCAAAGAACTGTGCGGTTAACAGCTTTAAGCCTTAGTTTATACGCGGCCTACCTTTAGGCGATAATCGTTTGAACATCGTGCAGGCGGCCATCCGATAACACGGATGTAATAACCAATAGAAAGACATTTTAAAATGTGAGTGCGCACGAAAGGTTTGCTATATTCTAAGTTTATTGCGGTTATTGCCTTTGCTCGTTAAGAAAACATCATTTTATGTTAAAATAATATCAGTACGACAACTCTAACACCAAACAAGACATTCAAATCTATTCATGGTAAGATGTACAAACTCGTCAACAACTATAGCAAGAAATGCATAATATAAATATTAACTAGTAAACAAATTATGGATATAGCTTGAACTTAAAATAAAGTTTCTTCTACAAGGTAGTAAGCAAATTACGTGTGATCTTCTTTAAGTAGCTGTCAAATAATTGACATATTAGCTTTACGCAAGGTTTTTAAAACACTGATCATTCTTCTTCTTCTTCTCTTCTTTGGCGGTTTTAAATGAATACGCCAATGAACACTGTTAATTCTCAAATACAGTTAGTTATATTTCAACATATTAAACTAAGCTTAGTTGAAATTATATTAACTCTGCATGACATAGCAGTTTTAAAATACAATGACTTATTAAGTAGCTATTATTATGGCAGTGCCTGCTGACTCACCTAAAACAAAAGTCACGCATGTGTAAAACCAGATTAGTAAAAACAAGCAATTACAGCTTAATATTATTTAAAGTAATAAAATCACACAAAATATAAACAAAAGAAGTTGTGAAAGTTAAAAGAAAATCAAAATTTATAGGACGGGGAATATGGGCCGTTCACGACCCGCAAGACTTCGGCTCGTGAACAGGAGGTGAGGAACAGCTGAGATCCGTGCTGCAGGAGCTAGAGGCAACAAAAAAGATCTGTTCACAGCTGCTGGTGGAAAGAGAAGACAGTGAGGAAGAATATAAATCCATACTAAACAAAAATGCTGATTTTAAAAAGGAATTAGCGGCCCTACGCGCTGAGTACATGGATGCTGTCAGCCATCGGGATGAGCTGCAATTAACATTGACAAATCTTGATCAATGCAGACATACCCATACAGAGGCTTTAGACAAAAATTAGCTTAGCATAGCTTTAGATAAAAAAATAATAGTGCTTTGTGTGGCAATACTAAAAATAACCATTTGCAATTATGCAGCACTAATAAAAATTTAGTTATTCCAAATACTGTTATTTTTAGTGATAGTATTGGATAAGGCATGGGCTCATTCCTAAATAATCACTTAACAGGAAATGTAGTCACTAATAATTGCCTGGTACGAGCTCCTCTACTGCACTAAGTTAATGCAAGAGTAAATAGTCAAACCACCTTAACAATAATGTATGGAAATAGCACTTATTAAAAAAAACAGGACATAATTCATAGTTTCTCCTTACCGTCTAACCTCAAAGTAAAAAAAAATATCTGGTGTGCGTTCCCTTACATAAATTCATCCACAGAAAAATGTAATGATAGTACCTATATATAAATTTAATCAATTATTACATTACTTGACATGCCGTCATAATGACATATTTAAATTTTTTCACACAAATTTATTAATCTCCTTACTATGACTCAAGATACCGTGTATCTGCCAACTAGACATAAGCACAAGGTAGCTACTTTATTAGCATACAATATAAATAATGACAATCCAGTATTAAATAGATTGTCAATTAATACTGAAGCTAACACTTTGTTCGTAATGTAAGACTGACAAAAGAGAAACAAAACATACAAACTCTTAGTTTGCTATATCAAAATATAAACCGTTTCTCTGGCAAGATCCTTGATGTTGAACTTTTAATTGATAAGTATAATGTAGATATCTTGTGTTTTACTGAGACATGGCTCAATGATATGACATATAGTGTTAAAATTAAAAATTATTCAGTAGCCAGTAAGTTCAACAGAGTGACTGATACGGAAGGGGGATGTCTTATCCTACATAAAACACTTTGAAACTGAAAGAAAGAAGTGATATTATTGCATACTCTGTTGAACGACAATGTGAGATTGCTTGTGCAGAGACAGAAGGTAATTTAATATTATGTGTATATAGACCTCCCTTCTCAGACCTTTTGAATTTCTTGTTAATTATTGAAGATGTATTAAGTAAAATATTTAAAATGAAAAAGCAAATAGTCATCTGTGGTGATTTCAACATTGATTTACTAACATTCACTGGATAAAGTAAGATTCCTATCACTTCTTGACACTTTTAATCTTAATTGCATCTTCAATGAACCAACAAGAGTACCCCCATCCTGTACCTCATGTATAGATAATATAATAGTAAATTGTAAAATTATTAACCAAGTAATATTGAGTCGCGTTAGATCAGATCATAAAGCCCTTAGAATAGACCTTCACATTAATAACAGGAATAACGTTATTATAAATGAATGTAGGCTCGTAACTAAGAACAGAATTAAGAAGTTCAGGGATAGTATTAAGTATAAAGTACCCTTGCTAAAATTAACCCTTAATGATCCCGATGGCGATTTCAATACCCTGTCTAGTACGATTAGCAGAGAATTTAATAAAAGTCTGCCAAAAAAAGAAAACAATAACCATAGGCAACAAACTTTTGTTCAATGAATGGGCGACTAAGGGAATAAGAAAGAGCAGGGATAGACTTTATGATCTATACAGTATTAAATCATTAACTTGTGATCCTAACCTTCATGAATATGATAGTTTTGAATAGTGGTGTGATGTCGATAAGTGAGTGTAATGCTCCTATGTTGAATAAAGACATTTGATTTTGATTTTGAATATGTTATGGAAGTATTCAAAAATGCTCTCTTGCTCTGCACTTGCATGTCCCCTGGCTCCTGCTAAATTATACTAAAATAATTTTGTGTATATACTTCAATACTTACCGTGCTTGCTTAATTAAATTTGAAAATTGATGAAATTTTATATAGTATTTTGGGGGGAGACCGTTCAAAATAGCATCCCTTGCCAAAAGATCAGCTTCTACATTACATTCTATACCGCAGTGCCCAGGAATCCAAGCCTAAGACAAATTGATTCCTATCACAAAATATTTGAATAATACAGATTTGATTTGGAGGATTAGAGGTTTTCTCTCTTTAATTCGAAATTGTGAGTAGCCGTCAAAGTTCCCGAATTATTGAGGTTGTGTGATTCCACATATAGTAGAGCAT